GAAAGGACGCAGGCATGAGCTGCCTGGCAGGAAGGAGGTGCAGAGCGGGGGCACACTGCTGAGCTGCTGGCATGGAGGACAGCACAAGCCTTTAGGCGGGGCGGCACCTCATGAGGGGATCACGGGAACCTCCCAGCTCTCCCAGCGTCTGTGTGTGTCAGGAGAGCGCCAGGGCACAGCACAACAGCAGAGCTTTAGACACACGTAATGCATACAAATACAGAGGGTAAACACTATTTTAAATAGAACTTTTTTGTTCTTGAAGTAACAGGAGGAGAATATGGTTTATCTGATCTCCTCCTGAGGACTGCAGAAGCAGTTTGCTCACCAATTTTGTGCAATATCTTGTATTTTTAATTGAGTAATTGTTCTACTTGGGTTGGCCCAAATTGGCATAGATGAAATTGCCACAGATGGCACTGTAAAAGTCCTGCACCCTGCAAGACTTCTAAAGAGCAGTGTTAAATAGCAGAAATCATCTTTGTTGAACAGTCTCTTAATGTGAAATTAAATGTTCTCTATACTTTTAGGGAGCTAAAATCTATTCCAATAAAATTCAGCAGTTAGATAATTCAAGTAACGAACTAACAAAGACAGAATCTGTCAGGATGCCAAGTAGCATCCAGCCAGAAATGCCCAGCATTTGCAAAACCTGTGTATGTGTGTGAACCATCATTTCCCTTCAGCAAATCCAAAATCTACAATCTGAGCAATACCTGGAGTAATTACGAAACTACAACGTTCCATATTGTTCTCCTGTGAATCTGATCTGAAAGTTATGTCCTTGTACAAAAACGATCTGCTGGGAGGAAGTGCAGTAAAATTGAAATGTGTTGGAAGTAAATCTGTGGGATGTGTTTCTAATACATCTTGAACTTGGCTTAAAGTACTTGGTAAGCCTTTCTGAGCCTCTCTTGGTGTTCTAACATCGGTTTGAGATGTGAGGTGTAGCAAACTTCGTAGCCAAAGTTTATCACATCATACAAGTTTTTCAGATTACAGAAGCCTTAGAATGTACGTTGATTAAAATGTTAGGGCTGAAGTATTTTTTGATCGGCTTTAGTGGCTTGAGTTACAGTTGGAGGTGATGTGACCTCAGTTGTTTCCTTGCTCTCTCGTGATCTCACCTTAAGGGCCCTTGGTGTGTGGTTTAAGTGTGGTCATGGGAGGTGATGAGGATTCCAAGTGCAGGATGTTTTATGGAAGGGAGCAAGCTGGGTCACTTGTGGTGTCACAGAGGTCCACCTTCATCAACAGCTTGTGTGGCAGAAGCTGTGATTTTTAGGAAGGTTCTGCTGTGCTTTACATGAAATGGCAGCCACTGTGGGCTCTGAGGCTCCAGAAGGTGCAGAAGTGATGAGAGACTTGCAGGCTGCCAGCTCTGAGAGGAGCCCTCCCCATGCCGAGCACAGTTAGTGTGTGCCATGAAAACAGCCAGGCTGTGTGTTTAAACTCCCTGCTGGGAGCGTCTGTCGGTGCAGGGAGCTGTCACATCCAGGGGAAAGGGGAGCCCTGGAGCCACAGGCATAAAGCTGGTAGGGAGGGGACACTGGAATAACTCTTGATGTGGGCTCTACTAATCTGGCTGGTCAGTTTATGCCCCACAGGGAAAAGGAAACTGCTGTGCAGATTGTATTCGAGTGCTGTGTCTGAGAAAAGGCAGTGAAGGGCTGTGAGATGAGACAGTGCTGTGCCACTGTCAGCTGTCACGGTGTGAGCAAAGGGGGGTCACCAGTTCTTGGAAGAACACCACAGCAAACCACTGTGGTTTTGGCACAGTTCTTGGCTGACAAGAAGAAAGGGAAGCAACTTAATGCCTTCTGTGTCCTGAATGTTCATGCTCATTTAAAGAAGTGGTTTTACAGTAATTTAATACTGACACACCAGAGAGAATGGGTGGGAAAGAGGAGGAGGATGAAGGGTGATTGCTTACAGAGCAATGTGTATCTGAGCTCTCACCTACCCAGGGCATGGTAGGACTGCTGCTTAATCCTCCAGGGAATCACTCACGGAACAAGATCTTGTCTAGCATGGAGGGGGAAGGATGGTGTTTCTATGTGATGATGACTGTGCATCTCCCTGAGGTGATTTTAGTGTGGTAAAGTGCAAACCTACAGCCAGAGGGGCTGTGGGAGCCTGTGCAGACTGCTGTGAATTATGGGTGCCATGGCTGCTGCTGCAGACACAAAGAGCAAACCAGAGCTCCTGGGTGCCCCCAGCCTCAGAACTGCAGGAATAGCCTGGTTTCAGGAGCCACCAGTTCCTCAGAGCCTGGGCTCTGAGTGTCTTTAGAAGTTACAAGTGCTGGTCATTTCTGTGGTTAGGACAGTGAGGAGGCCATTAATTAGTATAACTGGCAAGTTCTAAATTCTGTTCAAGTCAGCTTTCATTTGATCTCAGTGAGAACAGTTTCATGTAATGACAGAAGTTGCAAGTTTTCAACCTCTTTCTCAAAATGACCCAGGGTAAGTGAAGTGTGCAGCTCAGCCCCTGTCCATGTGCCTGTTTGTGCTGGGTGCAGGAATCCTGGGACCACCTCAAGACCTGCAGTATTGGCAGTATAGGAGTTTGTGTGGAACTGCTTTGCAGGGTAACATAATTGGATTTACTGAGCTGTAGTTTGTCATCTTGCCCTGGTTTAGCCTTTCCTCTTCTACTGTAATCCAAAGTTACCCAGATTTAAAAAAAAAAAAAAAAAAAAAATCTCTTTGAATAAATCATAACCAGCAGAGAGCTGAGCCTGCCTTTACTGTGAGCAAGAAATGCCACCTTTGGTGTGTGCCACCAAGGGGATGAGGAAAGTGTTATTTGTGCAGGGTATGTGATCCTTTTTTGAGATCCAAAGGCTTTTTTAGGTTTTTGCCCCATGTTCGTGCCTGGAGCACAAAGGGCCTTTTGTTGTAACTGTAACAAGAATACACACAGGCCTTTTACAGCTTTACAAATAAATGTGCTGGAACATATAGCCCAAAGTGAAGATGAATTCAGGGCCCTGAAAGTGGTGGCAGCTCCAGTTACTTTCAGTTGACTGTAGCAAGGATTGGGGTCACAAAAGAGAAGGATAATTTGCAGCTTAGCATATGGGAAAGAAAAGAACTCTTTCTGGCTGACTTGCTGGAACTCAATCCTGCAGCAAACCCCCAAAGTCAGCATTATGTCGTGAGCGATTAAGTGAGGTGTCACTTCTCTTCTGGCAGAAAGAGGGGTGCTGTTTTGGGCAGGTTTATAGATGCAGCAGTTCTTTGCACATGGAGGTTACAAGCTGGCTTGTTACTTAGCCATCAGTCAATAAATATTTTTTTCCTGCTTCCTGTGTAATCACTTTTCCAAGGTGATGTTGACTGCAGCAAGGTAAACTGGGCGTCCTGCTTGTTAAGCAGATGGTTCCTTCTGCATGGATCCCTTCAGTGCCAGCATGGGATGGGCTGGAGTGGTCAGGCAGTGTTGGAGAGGGCCTGAAAATGATGAAGGAGCTTTCTGTTGCAGATTTCACTGCGTGCATTCGTGTGCAGATTCATAGTGAGAGGCACTGCAGGGTTGCCCAGAGAAAGTAGATGGACTTGGGTGTCTGGTGGTTTGGAGGGGTGAGGGGAGGACAAGGGGCCACAATTCACAGCTTCCCTGTTCTCCCAAGCAACACACCCTGTCCCTGCCTGGGCAAACTGAGCTTAGCTACAGCAGGCCAGGAGTAAAACTGTGGGACATGGCAGGCATTTTCACAGCAAAGAAAGGAGGATGTGCCAACCTCCTTTACCAGTCCAGGCCCAGTACTGTGTGACTGCTCCTGGGCATCCCTCCCTTGTCAGCCCCTCTTCCGTTCCTGCCAGGCCACAGAAAGCCCGCCAGCTCCTGGAGCGGGCCCAGCTCGTTCCGTGAGCTGTCACTGACCAGCACTTGCCAGGCTGCTGCTGAAGAGCTGTTGGCCTTCTCAGCACCTCCGAGATGATAATCCCAGGGGAGCTTTCGGAATGGCCTCTTGGTAAACCAGCTGACAGTAGGCATGTGCATAGGTTAGCATTATGCTGATACAGAAGGTAAAACTTACTTCAGTTTCAGCCAAGTGTTAATGATGTTTTCTTAACTGCCTGTTCAGTTCTTTGTGGATCTTACTTGCTAAATATTTGATACAGCTCTGAATTTTAAAAGATGTGTTGGTCTCTCGGTTCTTTGTGCATAGCTGACTTGTTTGCAGCACACCAGCAGACGGGCTGGCTGCACATGTCCAAGTCCTGGTCCAGTCATCATGTATGCTGAGCTGTGGGGTTTCATGCATCTCATTTTATTAAGAGCATTCTCTGTTAGAGTCAGCTTACAACATTTTTTAATCTTTAAGTTTGATCTCCTCTATATTTTATTAATGACCTCTGCACTCAGACTTTAATTCAGCATTTCAAGACTGGAAAAAACACTTCTAAGAACAGTAAGAGTATATATTAAATGTCTTCTCTAGCTTCCCTTCATGAGTAAAACGGGGTTCTGTAACTCTACACGACCGGACATACTCGTATATTCCAGGATAAGAAAATGTTTGAGAGAACCTTACTTGTTCTTTGTATAGGGAATGTATCTTTTTAGAAAATAGGCATCCGGTGTTTCTAATTAGCTAAATACTAGGAATTGCCCAGTTTTTTTGCCTTCCTGCCTAATCTCATCACAGCCTTCTCTGGGCTTTTCTGTAACTGTTTCCAAGGCAAACCCCAGAGGCAGTTGTGTGCAGCAGCCCTGGCACAGCTGCAGTGCTGTGTGCTCTGTTCACTCTCACCTCTGTCACGGAACGCGTTCTGCTTGTTCCAGCATAAATGTGCCTTCTGTTTCCATCTCCAGGTCATCTCTGCTAACACTGCAGCCTTCAGAAGCCTGTCTGCCCTTTCTGCTGAGCCTGTTCCCTGACTCAGGCTCAGGTTCATGCACCTCTGTGGTTTTGCTTCCCAGGCTTCAGAAATCCCCTAAAGCCGGTTCCCTTCTGTAACCAAACCCCCAACCCAATCATTAGGCGGTGATTCCTGTTTCCAGAGAGAAGCCTTTATTGGAATAGCTATTGGAAGCAATGGGACATGGTTGTGGGTTTATATACAGAGAAGTCTGTAGCACTGGGTTACAATCAGTGGCAGATGACCCGCGGTTACAGTGCAGATCTGTTGTGTACAGAACAGTGTGGCACAAACCACAGCACAGAAGCCAAATGAAGCCGAGTGGCCGGTACAGCAGCACGGGAGGAAGCGACTGAATGTACAGAGAGCGTTCCCTTGACATTTGCAGGCTTTTTTGGCTAGTGAGTAGAGACAGCTCAATTGAAAATTCAGTGTGCAGTTATTTTTCTTCCCACTCAACTGCTTCCAAATTAAGAAAATCTGAATGTTCAGATTACGTTTTCAATGCTATAAATAGCTACGGTTGTTGCCAAATTACTTTATTTGAAATTTCTTTATTTAGAGTATGGTCAGGAATAGTTCAGTCATCATTGTTCTTTACTGATTATAAATTGGGAGAAAACTGAAGGATTTTCAAAGTAGTCTGTAATTAGAGCACAAGGATCTCTTGTACTTCATTTGGAAGTTTAATTCTGGGTAACATCTCCTGAGAGAGATTTATTGGGAAGAAAGATTGAATTGTCTACCATATTACTCATTTGTGGAATTCATTCATAGTACTTAAGGTTTTGATAGTTTAAAGGTCATACTTCTTTGTATTCAATCCATATCCAATCTTAGTGTAAAAATAAACACTCCATCCTCTATGGATAAATAAATCCATCTGTTGGCTGCAGGTCAGACCTTTATTGGTGAAAGAGATTTAGAAAAATAGAGCTTTTCTTTAACGTTTAATATGCTGACCCACAAAGGAAAAGTGAAATTCATTCAAGTCTAGAAACAGAAATACAGTACAAGTGATTTATAGAATTGCATTCCCTCTCTACAAACTTGCTGAGCATGAAACACTGCCCCAAAGCACTGCCTCTGCCTTTTCCTTGTCTTGGAGAAGTCATTGTCATCAGAGAAGTCACATCATACTGCACTGCCTGATTTCCTCTCAGAAGGGCTCTGCCTCCTGAGGAGTCTTTGCTTAGGAATTATTTAGATGGATGGTGGTGGTTTGGGTTCTACACAGGTGATGATATTTTAACCCAAATTAACAGCAATTTTAATTGATTTGATTGGTGATTTTTGGTGGATGAAAAAAAAAGCGCCTGTGATTGGATTTGGAAAACAGCAGCCTTTCCTCAAAATCTCCACTTCCAAGCCGGCTTGCCATGGGTGTCTTCCTCAGCAAGGGGCTGGTACGTTTGGCAGTGCAGGTTTCATGCTCAGCTTTGTCACTAAGAGCTAGACAGGACTTTAAAAAGCATCCACAGCCCACTGGGACTTGCTCTGCTGTACTACTTCAGTGCTCTGGAGAGCCCCCAGCCCAGCAGTGTTGCTCTCTGAGAAGTGCAAGTGTCCCAGCCTGGACTGGGGCAGCTGCAGGACGGTGACAATCCGCACTGGAAGCAGTAGTTAGTTAAGCACCAGTTACTGGCCCCTGCAGAGGCTCAAGAGAACAGAATTGCTTCGTAGAGAGCTGGTCGGCCTGAAAAGCTTAGTCAGTTGGATCCATAAATATCGACTTAGGGTTAGGATTAGAAATAAGACACTGCACCTTGGAACTGGAAGACAGAGTCAACTTCCTCCCTTTTCTGTCCAAAAGGAGACTGGCTCCAGAAGGTTTGTCCTTAAGGACCTTTGTGATGCCTGACACATAACTCACTAAGCGCGTATGGATGGACCTGTCCCTTCGGCAGGGATACTGAATGTATGACTGGACAAAGCTTTGAGGCTTTTTTCTGTGATTATTTTTTTTTTTTTGTCTTAACCATCTGCTCTGTGTCATGTTGTCCCTGAAGGCATGTTTACCCACTCCTAAATTATGCAGCATTGCCCAGAGAATGGCTCTGTAGTTGAATATGCTCTCTGCAGTACAGCCTCCCTTTTCCTCCAGTGGATGTGGATTTCCATGCAATAGACGTTATTAGAAAACTACACTTGTCTTTATCCTGTTATTTTTGAGCAGGGAAGCAGTGATATGAATTTGAAAACACAGGAAATAATCTGTACAGCAAATCAGAATTTTCATAATTAAATTCATATGATCACTAGCTCTTCAAAAGCTGTACTGCTCTGAATGCTGTTCTCCAGCCCACCATTATTCTCCTTTGAGCAGTATCACTTTCCATCTGCTCAGAAACAGTTCTTTGTGGAAATACTGAAAGAAGAATAAATACTGCCTCTCCTACACTGACTCTGTGAGTTTACAGGACGCCCTTACAGAACTCCCTCAGTTCTGTTGGGAGTGCAGCAATACACACATTTCGGTATGCATAGATCAGTAAATTGTAGCAGTGCCAGCAGTAAAACAAAACTCGCCAAGATGTCCTGTTCCTCTTAATTAAGCTTGATTTATATGTGCCTGTTGACTTAAGATGTGGTTAGTGTCCACTGCTGGGATGATGCAGTACCCTGAGTAACTTTATTGATTATGCTTACACAAGCTTGTGCTTTTCCAAGAACACAGAAATGGAGCACAAAGAGAATAAAGAAGTGTATCGGGTTGTTTCCATGGAACACTGGTAATCTATTCATAGCAGCTTCGAAGTATGAAGTTAAAACTTACCTTCTGCTCTACTCCCTTCGAAACAGATGAGTGCTATGATTAACTCCCCTTTAGCTTAAAAAATAGAAGTGGGTAGAATGTCAAAATACGTTTTGCTGGTAAGATGAACTTTGTCATAAGTAGTTACACCAGTATTGGTGACCTGGAGTATGTACATTACAACAGGTGGTTGTGGGAGCAGTGTCTGCCTTCCCTTGTTGCCTTGCTCCTCTGGGTAAAACAGCTTGTCTAGAATACTCTGGGCATTGGAGAAATAACTAACAACTATTCCTTTAGGGGGAAATTACCGTTATTCCTGTCCCTCCCAAACTTCAGTTGCATGCTACCTACACTGCCTGCAACTGCCTCCTTGTTTTGGGTAGGGCTGCATCAGGAAAAAGAATTTGATGATTGGATTTCTCCTGTTCCTCCTCTGGAAAACCTGCAGTCCTGGACTCGTTTCTGAACAGAAAAAACCATTAATCTCCTGTAGCAACATCAGTATCAGCTTTAGCTGTATGGATAGTTTAAACCTCTTATTTCTTACTAACTATTGAAAAAGCAATACCATCTGCCCCTGCTCTTAGAACACTGAAGCTGCTGGTTTTCCACAGCAGACATAAACCACAGACTCTCTTAATGGACTTGGAAAAGGCAGCGCAACTTTCCCTCCAACTTCCTGTCTCTGATGGATCCATGATCTCTCTCTGACTGCAGACAGACATTCTACTCCCATTTTTTCCTTCTCCCTCTCTGGCCACGGCCCGTTCTGCCAGGACCAGACGCAATCAGCAGTGCTGCACTACACCTGCTGACCTGCAGGGCAGCATCAGGCAGCTGCAGCTTCCACATCCAGCTAAGTGGCAGGAGTGAGGCTTAAGTTTAATCAATTAAAAATTAATTGCGACTCTTACTCATTCCAGCTCCCCTGTACTAATGAGTGAAGGATAGCCAGTTACATTCAATTAATGCCTTTTAAAATTAAGTGTTATTTGCTCTAGTAGAGATAACAGTCCAGAGGTTTTCACAAACATGCACTTCAGGCTGGTGAGAAAACATTCTGATGTTGTTTACTTACACAGCATAGAAGAGACTGTAGCTTTAATTATCTTATTGCCTCAAACCTTTGAAGTTAGAAATCAGATAAATTCAGTCTCTGTGGTTAAAATTTTTGTTATGCTCTTACATTCTTAAAACTCTAATTTATTGGTAGATTATTAATTAAACATGGAAGAGTACTCTCCCCCTGAGAAGGCTTCAGTCTGTGCAAGAGTTTCTATAGACTAGGCATGATGGGTTCTTTTCAAGTACACTTAACTACTAAACTACCTGTGGTATAGTATTTATGACCTTAAATTGTACAGAGTTAAGGCACCAAATACAAGATAAAACAACATCCAGATTAGGAGATCTGCTGTAGAACTAACTGCACATCCCCACACACCACTTTTGGACATTCAGCTCCTCTTAAAAATCAAGGTAAAACACGTCTGAATATTTCTTGCAGTCACAGGAATTGGAGAAAACCCTCCACTTTACTGAATTTAAATCTTCCTGTGCGATGGCCTTTTCTCTTACCTAACTGCTGCCCCTCACAGTGCAGCACTGCCTTGCCTGCACAGCATCAGACAGGCCTGGCACAAAGAGCACCCTTTGTCCTAAGAGACCCCGGAGAGAGGAACAGGCAGATGTGTCCTACTTGTGCTTTTATATTATCTGACAGCAGGTACAAACCAACGAGTGAATGAGTCCCCTTCCTGTGAGCACAATGGGAACAGGGAAGAGGTGTCAGGAGCAGTAGAATACCTGCACATAAATCAGGGTGGATTTAGATGGCACAAATAAAGCTAAGGAGACATAACTCTGGGGTTAAGTAATGAAACAGCTTCATGGTGACAATTCTCTTAATGCCAAACACTTAACTCCTGGCTTACGTGGTTTATGTTCCAGAGGAAGGGCAGGGGACCTGCCGTGGTCCAGAGGCCCAGGACTTCAGTGCCAACTTCCTCCTGTCACTGCTCGACAGTGACTGGAACAGAATTTCCTCTCAGAGTGGGATGAACCCAGCGAGCCCTTGGACAAGCTGTCTCCTGTTGTATAGACAGCAGATTCAACTACACTGTGCTTTTGCTTTGCTTTAATCAAGTCAATAAAGTGTCTCATTTTTCACTAGATTATTCAGCAGGAAGCCCGAGAGGGTCAGTGTGCTGAACACTGGAGCTGAGTTACTGTTTTTTGAGACAGAGCAGCCCTTCCTAACAGAGCTCCTCAGTGAGCCCAGCACAGAGCTCATTTCCATTCTTTTGATGCCAGAGAGGGGAGGGCTCAGTCAGCTCCACGACTGAGAACAACAATCTGAACTTCGTGTTTACACATCCCGTGGTGTATCCAAAGGAATCTGCAGCCGCAGAGTTCTTGTGCTGTTTCCCAGAGCCACCGGAAATAGGAGCTGTTTTTGTAAGCTGCTTCTGGGACTTGGAACTCAGCGAAGCTGGGACAGTTTCCCCTTGATTAAGTAACAGGCAACTGTCTACTGAGAATTTAGCTAAAGGCGAGAAGCTCTAATACCGAGTGAGCACAAGAGGCAGAGGGAAACCTGCCATTTTGTGTGAGTGAAGACTGAAACACTGCCTTGTCTGCCTGCTCTTCATCTGCACACATCTGGAGGGATGTGCAGGAGTCCCACCTCTAGACTGGCTCTCAGAAGTGCAGATGCAGAATTACAAATGAAGCAAGGGACACTTCATTTCAGGGAACTGGTGACTGAAAAGACAGGGACTGCCAGGCTCGCTCTCCTGGGGCATTGCTGGGACTGGATCAGGGGTGGCACGTTAAAGCTGCTCACATTTATTGCTATCTTGGAGATTAAGAAATGACAAGAGTTTGATGTTCCAGAGCTGAACAGCCAACAAATAGGAGATTTTTCTTCCTAGACTACTTGAAAAATCTCCATGCGCCGCCTCCTGCATTTTCTACTTCCTAATAATCTGAGGAACTTGTTGTCAGGGAAATTATTCTCAGTAGCTCAATGAAAGCAAAAAGCCTCAAATAATTTTAAATTTTTGCACTTTTCCCCAATTAAGCTCTTTCAGGGGCTTGAGGGCACAGTCTTCTATTGAGTATGACACACTTTAAATCTTTTTTTCCTACCAGAAGGCAAGTGTTCTCAAAGAAAGAATCCCTGTCTCCAGAGATCAGAGATCCTGGAGTAGTTTTCAGATCATTGTAAATGAGCAGAAATAGTCCCCTGACACATGAATAAGTCGAAATATTTGTAGGAAAACTAGTTTCTTTGAAGTGCTTCATAGTCTGGTTAAAAGTTTTTAAGAATCTAGACACTTCTATGTAACAGTTCCATAATTTGAGAGAATCAGCTGTTTACTGGGATACTAGAAGGTGATCAGAAAGGGCAGGGCAGGAGGACAGAGTACAGAAGCAAAGGTATTTACCAGCAGAGAAAGTTGTGGCAGCAGCATTTACAGCACATTTACTGGGAGCCATGACAATTGCTGAATCATCTAATTAGCTCACACTGGCTACAGGACAGCAAATTAGACAGATTAGGAGCCACCTACCCAGGCACCAAATTGCCTTTGTGAGGGTTGGATTGGGCACCGTGTCCAGCAGAAATTGCTCGGGCAGCGAGGCCGCGCGTTCCACATTCCCTCCCTGAGCACGGCTGGCCCCGCTCCAGCCCCGGGCACCACGCCCGGCAACAAGGTCACCGTGTTCCAACTCCTGGGGTGTGCTCAGGGGAGGCTGCAGGCACTGGCACAGAGGGGACACCATGGCAGGAAGCATCACAGCCCTCGCTTTGAGCCAGCCAGCCCCTCCAGAGCAGTCCAGTTACTCTGACACCTCCTCTAGGCAGAACGTGGCTGGACAATCTCCAGTGGCTGCCAAAGTCGGACTGAGCAGACCCCCAGAGTGCACAGATGTTACTCCAGAGTCAACAGCAACACCATTCACCTCCAGTACAGATAACACATCAAACAGGTCAGTTCCTTATTGTAAATCTTTGGCTGCTTTTAATCCTTTAAGTGCCAGACACCATCTCCCAAAATACACACGATCATCTGGTTAGCTAAAACGAGTGGTGGGGTGGGTAGTGTACGGGCACAGACTTTCCCTGCTCTCCTATTTATAGATGTACTAATTGAAAGGAACTTCTTCAGAATTCTTTTCCATGAACCAGAAATTCAAACTGTAAAGTAACATTTGTGCTGCAGAATGGGCAGTGATCCTGGCAGCTGCACAAAGCATGTGGAACCAGGGCTACATGACTGGCTGCTGGGCACACAGAAACACAGAGCTCAGGAGCAGCGACACAGACCTCCAACCTCACAGAAAAGGCACTTCAAACCACGCTCCTCTGAGGAGGCTTTTCAGAGCAAACCTACAAACATTGTGCAAAAAAGAGTTTCTAGTTCTTCCTTGGCAAAACAGTGCTTGTTGCAACACTGGTGAAGCAGATGTCACCCAAATTACTCATCACATAATAGCCTGATATTTCAGTTAGGTTAAAACCTACTGAGAATTTGGCTGCTCTCTCAAATGCCAGAGCATCAGGCACTTAAGAACCTACTCTGTGACTCTTTGACACATGGGGCTATTTTGCTCAAGTTCCACATCAGTGAGAGGGTTCTCAGGCAATCCTGCGCTCTCAGGTCTGAGCTCTGATTCCAAGTGGCTGCAGAACCCAGGATTTAGGAGTTTTAAGAACTCTGTTTCACATGGCAGGAAAAGGTTCTCCTATTGTGAAGGGAGGCAGCAAAGGCAAGGGGACATTTCAGACCTAAGTACTGCATTACAAACAACAGTGTTCTAGAGAAATTTAGAGAAAAAAGATCCAACAAAGAATTAAAAAAATAGGAGAGTGGAATACTTAGGATAGTAAGAGTTAAAAGGGTGATGGCAGAACCATAGGGAAATTCACAGTCACAGCAATTCTGATGGAAAGAAACACAGATGGATTAAGCTGCCAAGCACAGTCCGTGAAGAAGCAGATCAAATGAGAGTCAGCAAGATGTTTGTTACCAGTCCTTGACCTGGACAGTGCTTGTCAGGCTGACAGCAAGTTAGGAAGGGAATACTCAGGAGAAGTTCATTATAATGCACCTTAATGAATCTAAACTGCTCTCTGAAGGAGGAACAGCAGCTGCTGCTCTGGGATCAGCACTGCTGCGGGATCAGCACTGCTGTGGGATCAGCACTGCTGTGGGATCAGCACTGCTGTGGGATCAGCACTGCTCTGGGATCAGCACTGCTCTGGGATCAGACTGCTCTGAGATCAGCACTGCTGTGGGATCAGCACTGCTGTGGGATCAGCACTGCTGTGGGATCAGCACTACTGTGGGATCAGACTGCTCTGGGATCAGCTGCTGCTCTGGGATCAGCACTGCTCTGGGATCAGCTGCTGCTCTGGGATCAGCACTGCTCTGGGATCAGCACTGCTCTGGGATCAGACTGCTCTGGGATCAGCTGCTGCTCTGGGATCAGCACTGCTCTGGGATCAGCACTGCTCTGGGATCAGACTGCTCTGGGATCAGCTGCTGCTCTGGGATCAGCACTGCTCTGGGATCAGCACTGCTCTGGGATCAGCACTGCTGTGGAAGGATGTTCTGATGGCTCATCAGCTGTCCTGTGAGTGTCAGTGAAGGGTTCTGTGCTTCCAGGCCAGCCCTGCAACAGCTCCTCAAGTTCAGTTCCCCAGGTGCCACCTGCCAGGCCAGGTTCCTGCCCACAGGAGCAACAGCTCTTGATCAGCCTGGAATTCTCTGCAGACATCCCCTGAGCTATGGATAACCTACACACACAGTTATTTAGTGAATCTGATGGCTCAGTATTAAAATCAAACACAGTTTATATTTGCTCCTGAATTTTGATGCAGATATTCTGTACTAAGTCTGCTTGATACCGGTATAAACTGGGATCAGTCAGGGGTTTATTTATCTTTTAATCTCTGAATTAAAACCCTAAAAAGCTGCTACATCATCATCAACTTGCTCCCTTTTGCTTTTTTATTTTTTAAGCATTTTTATATAAAAAGAGTTGTTTCCAGCAACTTCAAGTTCTGCAAGTACTGCACTTCTGCAGTTCTGTACTATGCAACTTTGCATAAAGCAAGGTTTAAAAGGCAAATAAAAAAAATAGTATTTTAAAACTACACATATCATGTGCACCAATGGGTCATAATCCAAACCCATTTTAATCCAAGTAAAATGTGTTAAAACATTTACTACAGAACTGAAAACAATTATTTATGGATGGCTGTATCCTGATTTCCAGCTGTAGAAAACCACAGCTAAGCAATGATTCACGCAGAGATAAATCCCTGCCTGCCCGCCCTCCTCTGCACCCAGGGGAGGGAAGCAAACTTGGCTGCTTCCTGAATTAATTTGGCCTAATGTAATTTGATCTCTGCAGATTTGAACTGTAATATCATCAAAGTCTTTCCTTCTTCATTTGGAGTTTAGCTGTAATAGTTTAGGGAAATAGTTTCTCTCGTTATCAGTTCGTTACTGTCACCCACCCCACATCCCCAGGACCGAGGTGTGGCCTTCAGAGCTGCCTTTGGTACCTACCCAGAGGTATCCACAGGGATTGCACTGCCTGGCACAGCAGTAGCAATACAGCTTTTTATGCTACACAAGAGAAAAATATTGGAAGAACAGTCTGTTGATAAAACCAAACAATCTCTCAAAAGTGTTAGGTAATATTTTCTTTCTTAACTGGGGGTATTTGAATTGGCCTTGAGAAATACAAAGTTGGGATTCAGACCTAAGTATTACCTCTTTAAACACTGAGTTAAACAAGACATAATAAAAACGTGCCATATACAAGATTGTCACAGATATATGAGATTCTTAGAAAAAAAGCAATAAAAATAGTCTTTAAGCTAAAAATAAAATCTCTTACCTTTTATATCAGGATCTCAGCTTACAGTCACTACATTTCTGCTTATTTTATACAAGTGCATATGGCTATGAAGGTCCGGAGAGAATGAGAATAAAGTGGAATTAACCTGCTGAAAACTGCTTAGAAGTCTTAAGCTGTAACATATAGATGTTCCAATACCATTTAAAAAAACATTCACCTTTCAGTTATTGCTGATTGACAATCTCAAAGTATCAACATACAAATATTCAAGAGGAAAAAACCTCAGTAAATTTAGAGCAGCAAAGTTTTTTGAACTGGATGTTTCCCAAATACCGTGTTTTCCTATCAGTTGGTGATGGTTTAAAGAGACACAAAAGCAACCCACTTGACTTTCCAGTTCAGGCCTACCCTTTTTGTGCCTCATACCAATGATGTGGGGAAGAGAGAGAGAGAGAGGATATCATTTAGTTACATTTTGGAAAAAATTAGATATTGTTTTCCTCTTCTACCTCTTTGCTACATTTCATGTCTGCTGACATGCACAATGGTACCAAGCACTTCAGCAGTGACCATTGCACGGCTCTGTAGCAACTGGGACAAGGAAACATGCAAATCCAGCACAGTATTCCAATCGGGAAGGGCTTCAGGAGGGGAGGTGGAGGCAGCTGGCACTGCTTGAAGCAGCACTGGGCCGGGGCTGGGCCTTGGGTTGGTGGTTGGTTCTCCCCCCACCACACCAGTCTTTGCCTTTCAGTGTGAGAAATAACCAGGAGCATTTACACATCTATTGCTGTGTACCCAAAGAGAGGACTGGGGCTTGCACCAGGTATTGCTTTTTTGTTACATGGAGCAAAGTTCAAGAAGTGAGAAGAACATTTGGGAAAAAAAAAAAAAAAAAAAAGGAAAAAGGAAAAAAGCTCAGATTCCATGTCTGAAGTTGAGAAACCTCAAAACGAGCCACGTTTTTTTCTTGCTTTTAAGACATGTACAAAATGCCATTTGGAGCCACACAACCTGATGGTTCTAGAAGTCAGAGAAGAAATCTTGAGGGCCCAAGTGAATAATAAAAGGTGCGATGCTGAGAGGCTGGCAATAGGGACTGTCAATGAAAAAACCACCTACAGTGGGAGAAGAGCAGAGAAGCAAAAACCTCACGTTAATTGCTGAGACTGGCTGAGGCTAAAGCTCCATTTAAATTTCTCTGCTCTTTCAGCTGCAAGTGGAATTTTCATTGTAAAATGGGCACTTTGAATTCTTTGAAGGTATTGAAACATCTAACACTTCCAAGGTTACCACTTTCTAAACAAAGAACTGACAGCTCATTCATATTTTCAGTAAAGCAGAGAAATGTAAAATATGCAGCAAGGGGGCAAGTTTACAATGTGGTTAGTAACTCCCAACAAATGACAAAAAATAAAAAATGACTTCTATAAATCGTCTGAAATGACTGCCATCATGTTGGAAAAGAGCATAGCGCCCTTCTTGTCTTTGAAATAAGAACAAGTTTTTGGCTTACCAATGTTCATTGGATAGAATTGGTTCACAGAATATTTTGTTTGAAATTTTACAAAGCTGGGGATTCAGGAAAAAAACCAACAAAAAAAAGAAACTACAAACAGTCGCCAATTGGGGGAACTCCAAAAGGGGGGGAGGGAAACGTGTGTGGAGGAAAGATTCCTTTAATGAAGATTTGATTAACAAAAATGGGCTCTGATCAGCCATGCTTTTTCTGCTCCGTGATGGCTTCCTTTCATCCATAGGCCAGCAAACCAGATCAGTGATTTCTGAGCACCTCAATTTGGGCCCTTCCCCAGGCCCTGCTCACCCTCCTGGCCAGGAATCTCCGTCTTATTAAAGTACCACCAGCACCAAGGGAAGGAGAGCTCCGGCAGGAGGAAACCCAGTGACATGGAAACACATTCCTAAGCACAAATACTTAGCTTAAGAATAACAGCTGCAGTTAATTCCAGGGAAAGCAGCTTGTTCTATAAGCCACCCCTTATTCAGCTTTTCTAATATTTCTTTCCCTCTAAGGGGTGTGGGGGAGGAGGGACTTTATGTTGCTTTAAGCACTGGTTTTACACCCTTGTCACATACAAAGCTCCCCCTGCCTCAGCAGCAGAGTCTGTTAGAGAACAGGGGATAAAGGCAAATCTTTGGAAGAGCAGGAACTAAAGCCAGCCTATGGAAAAGCAACGGGGGAGGGCTGAGGAGAGAGTGCAACCAACAACGCTGCTGATTCGTGGGGTGATACCTTAATAAAGACCACTGGAATCCCTCATCAGAGCCCACAGCAGTCCACAGTCCAGGGAGACTCCAGTCGTGGAGCTGGGGCCTGCCCTGGAATTTCAGACAGGTGCACCCACTCCTCATGGAAAAGAGGAGCTTGGGGTTGGAGCACCGACTCTTAGAAAGTACTGGCCTATGGCTGAAGTGTGTCACTGGTCACAGCAGCACTCAACAAGAACTGGGACAATTAAATAGCAAGTTTTCATGGGGACCTTGTTGCTGCTTTAGATTCTTATAAATGTAAGGGGGAAAAGGAGATCCTTTGGTTTAATAGACAATTGACAACTAAAATGCTTTCTGTAGAAATGGTGGATGGAAAATCAAGGGTGGGCAGACAATCTTAAAAGTGAAGAAGGCCACAAGAACAAGTGCAATTTTTTTTCTTTTTTTTTCCCTCTTTTTTTTTTTTTTTTTTTTTTTTTTTGGTAAAAACAGAAAAGAAAGGAAAATGAGCAGCTTTTGAGCTCTGAAGAACCTGATTGTAAGGTTATTGTCGTCCTTTCTCTGGGCAATACGGGCGTAAGGTGTATCCCTGGAATTGCATAAATCCTGCTGTGGGAACTTCCTCTGTTTAATACTTGTTTCACAGAATGCAGCCTTAGACAGAGACAGCCTAAGATTAATTCCCTTTGTTTTGTTTGTTTTTCAGTATTTTGTGTACGAGTGAAAGTCTTCTTGGATAATTAAGACTGTGTCTAAAATCACAGTTACAGTATGCTGATCTATAAGGAAACTCAGGTACTGATGCTTAACTATAAAAAATAAGATAAAACAATATTTTAACCCAGATTTTACTAAGTTTATTACACACCATAATATTTACAAAGTTAAATGTTAACTGTAAAGTTTCTATCGTGTGGTGTTTGGTTGTTTTTTTTTTTTCTTTTTTTTTTAATTTTTATTTTTGTTTTTTTAAAGAACTACGCCCTGCATTTAATAACCCTACAGCAAGTACAGGTCATTAACTGAGTCTGTATGACTGCATTAGGAAACAGGCAGTACTCTTGTGTTACAACAAAACAGTTTATTTGTGATCAGTGTTTTATATTCTATACATCCTTCACAAATTTAATTTTACATAATCGGATACTTCATTTAAAACGTAAGATTTAAGCTTCTAGTTCTTCCCTATAACAGAAGGCTGGTATAAGTTATTTGAAAATGAGGTAACATTTCACAGAACATTTTTTTTCAAGTTTTAGAGAACTAAATTTGCATTTTGTTAAAATCAAAAAGTAGGAAAAAGATGTTTCTTTACAAATGACTTTGCTCAAGTATGTGTTCAAAGAAAACAGGATAAAAAGGCTTTTTTTCTTCTAACATTCTGTACTGTACTGTGTTGTTCAATCAATAGGAATTAGCTTCTGCCATTTGCTAAAAGAATGAGTAGTGGGGAACGGGGTAAGTTGGGAATTTCATAACTGGTAACAGAACCATTCTCTTGGGTAAACCTACAGAGAGAAGAAAGGGAGAGGACTCCAAATAAGTTCAGCAATCCAAGAAAGTCAGATAAGAGCTTACAGTAGTGTTGTCATTAACCTTTTCCAGATCAGTCAGTCAATGGGATTCCGGGGTGCAGAGTCCCGTGGACAGTAACACTTCCCCACTTTGCACTATTTCAGACAGATGGCTGGCCTAAAATCTGCTTTTATTTTTGCCCTGGTGTTTGGTAAAATTAAAGGAAGTGATATTCTCAAAAGCACAGTGTGTATTTGGGCTTGAAGCTCTACTTCATGATCTTTATGGTAATTAATCTCTACTAGCTCGTTCTGAGTTCATTTCACAAGCCAGTTGCAACTGCAGATATTCTAGACAGGCACTGCTGTGCATAAAATACAACTCACAGGGAAACTGTTCAGCAGTTTGGATCAGCATCCAGGTAGGTCAGCCAAAAATCAAGCACCTACAGTAAATTCTGCATCTGCTCCCTTATTCTGCATTCCCTCTCCTGTACTGAAGTGGCAAATCTGGAAAGATTAACATCTGCCTGATTCCATGATTATTTTAGAGTTCTTGTGGCCTCACAAACTTCTGCACAATTGAACGTTTGTTTGGGTTTTTAATCTTGCCTATTTAAATTCTAGTATTTAACCTATGTGTCCATTTAGAAATCACAAAGCAGCAACAGCAGGTATTCCAGAGCACCAGATGATCAAAGTGAAGTTTCCCAACATGCAACAGCTTACAAAGGCAAAGAGACATGTTTACCTTACAGCCAAAAAGCATTATCCCAGAACTTCGCATCACAATCATAAGACATTAAGAACAGAAACTCTTTATGTGAAAAATGGGGGCATCCAATTCCACAACGCTTTGAAGTCAGTGATATGTCACATATACACAGCTAAGTGCTTAAAATCCAGCTCCCAAAATAGGCAAAATGAGGGAAAAACCCACAAAACGGAAGGAAGGAATGAAAAAAAGCAAGACAAGTTGCAAGGAGATTTGGTAACAGTTGCACTCCTGTCTGCAGCAGGGAAAGGATTCCACATGTCACAGTGTGTCACTGCTTGTAAAAATACAGACATGCAGATGCCACTCATCCTGGTTATCGTCTGAGACTGTTGCTTGGAAAGAATCAAGGGATCTATGAAAAATCCATACCCTGAACTAATTTCCTTTTATTTTTCCCTGAAGGAAACACGTAGCTGTTCCCTGTGTGATGCACCACGAAGGACAGCACTCCATGGGACAGCCCTGCTGCCAGCTGCCCTTCTGTCAGAGCATGTGGGCAGTCAGCAGGTCTAAAACTAGAGAGGTTTGCTGCAGTTTTGAAGGGAGAACTCCACACTGAGTGCAGCCTGTGGGCCCATCCTCCATCCCCTTTCAGTACAGAATTGGACCAGCTGGTCCCAGTCAGGCAAAACAAACACTTTCCATAAAGCAGCAGCATTCTCCCCTTCTCAGAGCTTGTACTGCTGTAAAAGTCATGAAATCAACATTTCAAAATATTTCAAACTTTGCTGGTGGTATCAGGGGAGCTGGCATTGCCCAAGTTACACAGATTTGGGAGGAGTAAGCACCGCAAATGTGAAAAAGCAAAAGTTTCCCCTAGGCAAAAGTGCAGGCCTTGAAAAGTGCTGGCCATTTGAGCAGCAGGCTGTGAGCAGTCCCTGCCATGGGACGGCCTGCTGGGACTGGTTCTGGGGGGCTCAGTTGTGTGTGCCAGGACATATCACTGACTCCAAACTGCTCTGCTCCCATTGCCACATAAACCTCATTCAAAGTAACCAAAAGGGCCGGTTAGAGGAATGCATTGTTAGTCCAGCGTCAAACAAGCCAGTGGGGAGGGAGAAGCCAAGTTAAGAAAAACCCTTCCATCACAGCTCTCTGGTCATCAGCTCATTTAACAATCTCCATGAAACCAGTGCTTTGCCAGCCTAATATCACGTGTTTCATAGTAAAAAGCATTTTTGTGGCAAATGCCCATGTCCTGGCTGCCTTCAGTCTGATCACTTCACAGTCCAAGCAACCCAAACCCATCCTGTTGTCCCAAGCAGTGGTGGTTTAGCCCGTGGGGGTGGGGGTGTATTTGCCCATAGCCTTCACAGAGTTGACAGCATTAAGGGAGATTTGTCCACAAGCCACTTACACTTGGGGACAAACATTTCACCAATGGTACTGTAATGCCACTTAGCTAAATCTGGGTCAGAGATGCTGAAATAGGCCCTTCGGTAGTCTTTGAATGGAGCACGGGTTGGCTGTAAAAAGTAAGGGAACTACTTCCACTGGGTTCCAGTTTAAAGGGAACAGGCAATTAGAACAAGCAGTCCTTCCACAGACCAGGCAAAGCAGAGGCAAAAAGCTACTCCAACCAAAAAAGAACCACAAGGTTATGGCATAAAAGTGTTTTGTCATGGTTTAAGAGCTTTAATCTCTCTGAGTTTCTCTCCTGGCACTGCCCCCCCCGTGGACAGCCCCCCCAGTGGTGCTCTAGGTGTTAATGACAGCTCGGTACGTACCGTAGGCCGGTGCCGCGGTGCTGTACCCGTAGGGTGCTCCATAGCCTGCAGGGAAACACAGACACGGGTCACACCTATTCCATTGCCTCAGCATTTTCTTTTCAGCTGAACCCCTCGAGTCTGCACTGTCAGAGCACAGAGTTGGCGTGACCCAGACATCCCAGATTTGCTTCTGTGCTTCCTAAAACACAAGTGCAGTCTATGCAGAGAACAGCCATTTTGCTAAATTTCCATTATAAAGAGGGGAATGTGGGATGCCTGTGACAGATGCCACATCCCCATTGGTAAAGCTGCTGTGAATTTTGCTTTCTCTGCCATTTCTAGCAGACAAATTCCACAGAGGACATCTGAACACCTCCACATAAACAGAGCGGGATCGTTTTCCCCCCAAGAGCAAAGTGTGACTCTGGAGTGAGACAGAAAGCAACAGGGATAGCACCAACATTGGTTGCTACATCTCAGTGGTTCACGGAGGGGTTTTTTTATGTTGAGATTGCTTGTGTCATCACAAAAAGCAAGAGATTTCTGAGAAGAATAGGGGATGGAGAGACATAATCTGTGAAGGCCAAGGCCAATAAAAGCTTAACTGCAGCAACTGGGAAATTAAACTTATTTCTGGAGTAATTCCACACTGGCAAGAAGCATGCCCCTGGCAGGTTAAAGTGTCTCATAAATGACTCCTCAGGCAGACAGACAGTTCCAAAAACAATGTTAACAGCCATTAAAAATGAATTACAGCTTTTTAATATTTAAAATGACATGACCATACAGGAACAATGAAGACAGCAGGCTGCTGACTGTGCCAGGAAGGAAGGCTCCCAAACAACAGGGCTGTGCTGTTGGCACATTGAGCTGCTGGAGGGTGTAATTAGTGCTCATGCTGTAATCTGAAAACCTGAGCATGAGGAACGTAACTGTTATTTTCTGGAAGCTGTTGGATTTGCTTCGACTAAGGCATCTTCAGCATCTCATTCTTACAAATCTGTGGTCCTTAAAACAAGTGAAAACAGTGTCAGGATTCCCTTCCCTGTCATCTGCAGACCTCAGACGTGTGGTAGAGTCACAAAGAAAATGTACTTTGAAAAGTAAGGGGAAGGAGAAAGTGCCCATTTTGTTAACTTTTTCTTGGGAAAACGTGAAATGGGAACCAGAAGCTTTGGACTTCCAAAGCAGTTTTTGCTATCAGAACAATGCAGGGGGGATCGTGACTCCACATCAGCCAGAGTATGAACAGAAATTCTTTTATTTTTGGCCACCACAGAAGCTACTGATAGATGCTTCCAGGTGCAGTTCATGAAGAAAGTTTCTGGGAGCTCAGGGACTCTGGAGCCTGCTGACTTCATGTCTGCAAGGGTTTCTGGGGAAGGCCAATCCTAATGCTAAACAGCACGTGATCCAGGAGGTTCTTAGGTAGGAAGAGAGTTTTGGGAATTGTGCCATGGCAGTGAACTATGAAGAAGACAAATCATAAAATAATAAAGCCAGGAAAGCCATTATGCCCATAACTGTGTGCTCTGTGCACACCAAGCTTCAAGTTGTACACTCGGAAAGGACATGCACTACCAGCTTTCCAGCTCTTTGATTTATTTAGAGCCCCATGAATTCTGCCTTCTGCTTCATCTCAGATGATTAGAAATCACTTAAACAGGTGACTGACACACATGGAAAAGAATGCCCTGGCAGACAAAAATTCAAGTATCAGTTCTGAGTGTGTGCCTTACCTGGTGTTATGTATCCAGTAGCAGCAGCTGCCCCAACAAATGCCCCTCGTGTTAAAGCACCTCGTCCTCTGCCTCGAACAGCCTGGACTGCTGCAGAAACAGCTGTATTGACAACCCCTTTAGTCTGCCCAGAGTGACAAAAAATAGCAATTCAGAGAGGGAAAGTGTTGCTGGAATACCAGGCCAGCTGCATGGAATGACCCCCTTTCAGAGAGCTCTGGAAGGTGCCAGAAGCGCTGGGCTGGCCGGGCAGGCTGGAGCAGGGTGTGCTGGAGATGTGACTGATGGAACGCGGCAGGCCCCCTGCCCGGCCACTGCCTGCAGAGCCCAGCAGTGCCCTCACCCACACCCCGTTATTCACCTCGAGTTTGGCCAGGACTGACCACCACTGGCTTCTGACCTTCTCTCTGCTGCTCCTCCCGACTCTCTTTCCCACCTCCTTACAAGCTTCCTCTCCTGACCTACAGCACTGCCTTGGCTTCTCTCTCGCCCTCCTGAACCCACTGCAGCAGGGCCAGGATTTCACCCCAAAGACAACCAACCACCTCACAAAACAGCAGCCTGTGCTAACCTTACTTTACTAGAATGTTGCCTCCTGTATCAAAAGACAATCCAGAGCTGGGATAACAGAGCAGTCCAAAAAGCAAGTGACAATTCTTACCTGAGGAAGAATCTTTTTCTTCTTGTTGTTTGCTGCATTAGGCCCAGAAAACAGTTTTTCAAGTGCTGCTAATGCAGCACTTGCTTTTGCTACCTTCTTGTTTGGGCCTGCACCTCTGAACTTCTGCCCATCTACTTCTACCTGAAAATTGAGACATGAATTTATGGCTAGTATTGATCTCTGGGAATACCACACTGCACCCACCGGGCTGAGGTGCCACCCGCAGAGAACTCGAGTAGGAAAAAGTCCTCTTGTGTTTTATGTCACAAAGTTCCATTCATTCTAGATATGAAGCTGGTAAAGGATACCAGGGTTATCCTGGGAACCAGTGTATCCCAGATACTGGGAATCTGGACACCACAAGTGCAATTCAGAGGGGAGCAGTATCTGTCGGATACTGGATTCAGCCCATACCCTGGAGCCTTCCTTGACAGGAATCACGTGAGGCTCCCCTCATCTTCATCGACGCCTTACAGACCATCATCCTTGCCTACACTGTACACTGAACTGAATCAGCAAAGTTGCTCTGACCCACTGGTGACAAACCCCCAGCAACTGCAGCTCTGCTGCACTCACCTCCATCACAAAACGCTTGTCGTGGCTCCCACCGGTCTCAGAGATGAGCTCGTACTTGAGCCCTCTTCTCTTTTCATTGAGCTCCATCACCGGGTTTTTGCCACTTGCTGTGAGTATGGGACCCTGAGTTCTTACCTAGGGAGACATTCAGGGTGTTACTTCAGAGCCTTTCCCTGTTCAAAAGGGGCCAGAGCTGTGCAGACCTGTGTCCCCGGTGGCACTGCCTGGGCTCAGCACCACGTGCTGTGCTGCCAGAGCACATGGGAAGCCTCTAAAGAAGGGCAGGAAGATGGACACTGGTGCTGAAGAAGTCACAGCCATTTGTTGGTGAGGGCAGTGTCCTCATGGCCTGGTCTGGTGGTTGCACAACCTGAACTTGGAAGCAGAACCCTGAGAGAATGCAGAGCTGCAGGTGGGGCCGTGGTGTCGAGTTCCTTGACAGGGAAGGCTCTATCACCGAAAGGACAGACCGGCCTTCCCAACCCTGCACACGTCTCTGCTCCGTCTAATTACGGCCTGGCACTGCCCAGCTCGGGCTGAAAGAGTCTCGTAGCCTGAGTCACGTGTTGTAGCAGAAATATCTGTTACTGTCTGGAGAGCAAGGGAGGTAAAGCTGAGATCTCAGCACACCAGAGATCAGCTGCAGTGAACGCTCTCAGCCATGCTTACAAACAGGGCAGCTGGGTTAGGAACTCCCCCTTTCCCTGGAAACACTGACTGGAAATTAAGTCATCTCCCAACTGAAGAATTTCATGTTTTAATATCTTGGCAAGTAGAAGAACAGAAAATAGAACAGGAAGAAGTGAAATCCCAAAGCCCACATCTCTGTCACTTGTACCTTCCATGCAGTCCTCACCTCTAGGGTAGCAGAGGTGTCCGCTGTGGAATTTCCAGTATTATTGCTTGAGATTGAAGACGTAGTTTCATTTTTACCTTCAGTATCTGATTTTTCATCAGAACTCACACACTCCACGTCTGCATCAAAACCAGTGGGATATCCCATTGCTTGTAAAACCTACAACAAAGCCCCGGGAAATGAACTGTGACAGAGGCAGCGGAACAGGAACAAACACAAAGCTGATCACACCACCAAAAAACATCCACCATACACTTACTAAAGGTAGATTGCATAGAATGTTAGTTTTCTCCTATTTGAAATGGAGATAACCATTTCAGTGGATATCAGTGGATACAGTATCATTGGGGAAAATAATTCCAGGTTTCCAAAAGTGGGATCAACACAAGAATTTTAGTCTCAAAGACAGCAATTACTCATAAGCATCCTTCACCATCTCGAGAATTTCTTGTAAAATAAGAGATTAAAGACACTGTTTAACAGCACAGTAAGGAGATTATTTCACACATGATTTTTTTACTCTCTGTGTCCATGGACAGATCAGGAGATGGACTGTGGGGCAAACAAGGTAAACAGCCTTGTGCAAGATGGTACTTCTGGAGCTCAGTTCCTTCAAAACCACGTTCCACTAGCAAGGCCAGCCTCTCCCTTAACCAGCTGCCTGACCAGCCGTGCAGAGCTACCACACACGGGGCTAAAGGAGCTGGAGAAGAACCTGCAGCTCTGCTGGAAATTTAGTGCCAAGAACAAAGTCTGCAAAAATCCCTTTGCTCCAGCCCTCAGCTGAGCACTGCACAGGTAACCCCAGGCTCAGCTCCCCTGCAAGCGGGGAACATCTGGCTGCATTTACAGGGCTTCTGCATTTTAGAGAGGGCAGATTAGAAAGTGAAATGGTCACATTATTCCCTCTTATAAGACTGGGCAGGCAGGGCCTGGATCTGCTAGGAAAGGCAAGAAAGAAAAAAAGTGAGTCTCTACCACACCACCCATTTCCTCTTGGCTTGAATCGTGGATGTTTTGATGTGTAAATTTAGAGAAAACGAAGCTGGGTCGGCACCAGCACAGATCTGGCTGACGCAGAGAGGTTCAAGGGCAGAGCAGTCACAGCTTTTCAGGGCAAGTGGGTTTTTTGGGCCTTTTTTTTTTTTTTTTTTTTAACAACTGCAGGGAGGGAGGCAAAATAAAAAGAGTAAGGCAGAAGATCTGGAAGGACACACATGCAGAGAGCTACTTTTCCTGGAGGAACAACACAGGCCCTCAGATACTTCTGGACACTTTGAACTTGAAAGCACATAGGACAATGGGATTTTGAAAACTGAAATCAAAGGAAAGGAGAAAGTTGCCAGATGAAGCTTCTAAAAAGGAAATTCTGGTTCAAAACAAAACAAAGAGCAGAACGGCAGACGGGCCTGTTCCTGTCAGAGGTGCAGTTCTGTTACCAGAGGTTCTGTCACAGAACTGGTTAGGTTGGAAAAGACCTGTAAGATCATCAAATCCAACCACTGGTTACCCCAGCCCTGCCAGGCCCCCACTAAACCACGTCCCCAAGCACCACATCTGGGGGATGCTCATGCTGGGGGTTCCAGTCTGCCACTGCTGTCATGCAGAGCACCCACAAGAAGAACAGCAGGTTGACCAGTCCCAGAATGAGACCACAGTCCTGGAGGAAATCTGAGTGGAGACCCATCATTTACATCCACTGTTTCTCTCAGTACACAAGGGACTCTTTCAGACACGGAGGGCAGGAAACAACTCCATCTTGCCAGGTGCTCACAAGCCAGGAATGGACAGAAGGAAGGGGAGAAAGAGGGAGCCACCAGCATGCTGTTCCCAAACAACACAGGAAAGAATAGAACAGAACTCAACTGAATCCCCCTCATCCAGGACTTGGCCACCACATTCAGCCCACTGCAACATGAGCTGACCTGCAGAGCCCTGGGAAGTTCTCCCCTGATAGCACAAGGCCAGTGATGCTCTCTGAACCATGCCCAGCTGTGTTTAAAGCACATAGGGAGCAGCTCAGCTTCATCCACATTTTTTTTAAATTTTGAGGTTGCATAGTAATATCCACATTTCATACTGTGTCCCAAAATCTGGGGTTAGCAGATTACTCGAGGCTGCCTTACCTTCACTGCCACATGGAGCTTGGCTGTTTTCTTAGAAGGTCCTGATGCTTCATAAGTCGTACCATCAACATCTACAGACATTGTGAAGACTGGGGCATGGACTGGACCAGACTGTGACAGCAGCTTATACTGAAGCCCTGGCCTGATTTGGTTCAGCCTCATCAGAGCATTCATGAGATCTATTGCTTTACTATCTAGTACTAGTACAAGATAGTAGAAAGGGTGGGGGAAGGAGGGGGAAGGAAAATGAACAAAACAAGATGAACAGAGAAATGAAACAGTTTGCATTTCAGTGCCTTCTGTTTGTATCAAGGAGCAAAACCACCCCTTGGCCTCTCAGAGGGTGAGGAGACCCACAGCGCTGTTAAGGCTTTAATATGACATTCTAATTTGGAGTAGCCACTACAATTACCCGGTTTTTATATTAACACAACTCCTTTGCAGCTAGCTGCACTCTTCCTGGCTGCTAGAAAAGGAGTAGTGGGGAATCAGGTCCAGAGCTGGCATGCAGGTAGCACAATGCAAACAGCCCCCAGGACTGGATCCCAGCAATGCCAGGAGACTGCCAGTCTGTGCAGATAAGCAACATTAACGTTTTCTGGATTAAACTTTTTTTTTTTCTTTGTGGGAGGTCTTGGGAGACCAACAACTAGCTCAGGAAGGGGAATAATGCAGAGTCCAATCTTCACTCAGCAAAGTCAGTGCAATACTTTGAAAAACCCACAGTACAGGGACATGACCGATAAAATCTCTCAGCTGCTTGGACAACTTCAATTCTAGTGTAACTTGATGGGTAATCCCAGTTAAAAATGCAAATCATTCAGTTAGTAAAACATGTCAGGGGAAATTCAGATGCACAGTAAGAGATGTGTTTGACATTCCAAACGCGGGGTGATAGAGACAACATCTTTTTTGTTCCAAAGACTTTTTCACATGCTCTACCACACCAACACAGAGAAGCTTTTAAAGCAGCTCCCTCTGTACAATAGATCTTTGAAAGCAGAATAGAGAAGTGCTGCACTTACTTTTCCTCAGATTACGCTTCATTTTTTTATTTGGATCCTTGTCATCCCCGACACTGTCTTCAAAGGGTCTCTTCAGAGCAGACGAGCCTGTACCTGGGGTATAAAGTTCCTTGTAATACGGATATGCCATTAGAAAAACAAGATTGCACAGCAGGAGTCTGATGAGTGCCACACGGTTCCTGGCTTGTTTATAGTGACAAGAACCCATCCATCAGTCACAGCTTTCTTATTGCTGCACAGAAGCCAATATTGGTTTACTGCTCAGTGCACCAGGCCATGCAGGATGGCTGTGGCCAATACCAGGTGGGAGACAGGCCCTGCAAACCTGCAGGGCTCTTTTCCACACTTACTCTGAAAGCAAGAACTCCACCAGTGTTGTTTTTACAAAAAATACAAGTGGAAATTTATTTTTATTAGGTGTATATTGTTTTCTAGGAAGAATCCTTGGGTAATTGCTATTATTGACACTCATTATATGCATTTTGACAGTTTGCAGTCTTTACTCCCCAGATAAGAATCAAACACTACTTCTGCTCTTTGGATGGCAAAGGCCTTTCTGCTTAAAGAAATTCATCAGCTATATTGTAGCTGTATTGTATCCCTCTTGGTATTTCTAGAGAACAGAAATTCCAGATTTTCTCCTAACTAGGAAATTTTTTTTTTTAAAAATCACCCTTTAAAAAAGCCTCCACATTCACAGCACATAATTCAGGAACTTCACCCATTCTGAATTAACCCCTAGTTTACTGCCCAACCAGTGATTTTTGGAACAAATGATACCTACCTTCTTTGTCAGTTACTGACCAGGAATATTTCTGAAATGACTTATTGGATGGGAGGGGATCCATTTCCAACACCTTATAGATCTGCCCAAAGGCTGATAGTCTGAGTGCATGCTGCAAGGGACAGGAGAAACAGGGGTTACATCAGCAGCTGGCCAAGCTTTTAGATAATCACAGGACACGAACTGGCTCCTGTGAGGAGGCAGCTTCTCCAGCCGGGGACAACGCCACTGTCTGAAACCATGGAACCCGCTCATTCCTGGAACACGGCGTGCAGGGGGTTCCCCTGGCAGGACTGCCGTGCAGGGGGTTCCCCTGGCAGGGGAGGGCTGTGCTAACGAGCTGTGCTAACGAGCTGTGCAGTCCCCTGTCCCCAGCCTACCTGGGCACTGTGTGTAATGGCTTCTTTTTGCTGCACGCTCAGGTACGACAGAGCGTCCGTGGGCTCGCGCTCGCAGGGGTCGTGCAGCCCCGGCCCTCCTGTGGGAGAGAGGCAAGGGATTACTGGCAGGAAAGGAGGCAAATGGAAACAGGGGCTGACAGGGGATGCTGAAGGCTGGGACTGGCTGCTGCAGAGCAGGGAGCACACCTTCTCCTGCAGGGACGCACAGCTCATACAGAGCAAGCTGACCCCGAGGTTTTAATCCTTGCAGCAGGGACCACAGCACTCAGCAGGGTAACACTGCCCGTGTGTGATAACATGAACTGAAAGCAGTAGGTTTAAATATTAAAAAAAAACCAAATAAACAATAATTTGGAGAGCTATACAGTCTATTTATTTATTTGTAACCTCTTAATGAGATAGAGGTTAATTTATACACATTCCTTATTTATACACATTCCCCATTAACTTCTCCTGCAGTGGCAGTACTCACTCACACAGTGATCACCAGGCAGCCTCCCTTTTTTACTTTAATTTTACACCATTAATTTCACCCCACAGCAGGTTCAGAGTTCAAGGCAGGCATTTCTCATCTAATCCTTCAGCAAGAGGTAAATTTAAGGCTGGCTGATCAACCCCTCGTGTTCCTGGAGTTCATTTGGCCCCTTACCGGGAAGCAGAATTCCAGATGCCAAACACTCCATGACTCGCCGCAACGCTTCCCCAGCGCCCAAAGGTCTATTACAAGTACCTATAGATTTTTCACATATAAGCTCGAGTGGCTAGAAGACATTAAATTACGATTAGTATGGACACAAGGGTAGCTGTGACTGCAGTTAAATATGGAGGGGCAGAGGGGAAGAACATTCACATCAGGTGACTCATTTTTAATCCACTATAGGTCTAAGGGACAGGCCCATCCCAGAGGAGGCCCCATCCTCGTTCATGGCACACGTCTTTGTCCCCTGCTCTGAGCTGCCTTCAGAGGACACCAACTGCTCTCCACTGTCTGCCCAGGGAGTTGAAAAGGAGAAGCCTCTCAAGCCAGGTCAGGTGAGTGTTCTCCACCTCTCTGTTTTCAAAGAGAAACACCTTCACCACTGACCTACAGAGTGTTCCTCTCTGGGCACGAGAGCAAACCTGCCCCTCTGAAAGGGTAAGAGCTGCTGGCAGGAATATTTCCCACTGTCATGAGCAGGGTTGTTTTGGAAAGCTAAGCAAGAGGGACTGAGGCAACGAGTGGGATTCTCTTGCAAACGCTCAGGGCTGTGTGAGGCCCACAGCAGTTGTGTGTCCTGCCATGGCATCAGAACACACGACAGACTGAAGGAATACTGTCCTTCTCTTCCCTGCACAGGGAGAAAAGGCAAAGGGCTTTAAGGAGGAGTCTCAGAGAGGACACTGCTTTCTCCTGTCCAGACACTGCCACAAGTCTCAGGAGATCTGAGACCTGACCCTGTGACCTGGAGCTCTTTCTGTACTTACCCAGCCTTTCAGTGGTGCCCATGTGGGGACTCTGTTGCACAAATCCCGCAGAATACGAAGGACAATTACACATGATTTTAGTCCATTTGCCCTGGCCTAAAACAAACAAAATGATTCCAATACACCTGCAAAAGCCTGGCCTTCAATTTTGCTTTTCTTTTTAAATGCACAGAGTCCTGGGATAGATTTTTTTTTTTTAAATTATTATTACTTAATACTTAATCAGCTTCATGCAAAATAAAAACACTTATATAAAAGTACAAGACTTGAATTTAGAGAGAGACATATAAAAAAAAAAAAGGAAGCGAAATGTCAAGATTGCTTTTGTAGCCTCATGACAACTCTGCACCAGCTGGCTGTGTCCCTGCCACGTTTGCCCTCGGAATTCTACACCTTTGCTCTAGGAGGGGCTAGTCAGAAATTAAAGAGGCATTCAAATTAAAAGTGTCTCAAATTAAACCTCGCAAGGCTACGATAACAACAAGGTAAGAACAAAGAGCCAACCTGAAACCATTTGGCGTGCCGCAGAGACGCCAAGGCCTCCAGGCATTTCTGCCTGTCCAATAAGTCCGGAGGATCTTTCATCGCAACATTGTCTACTGGTAAAAATGGGATAAAAAGAGACAGATACAATTTGACCAAGGGGTTTCTGTCACAGTACAAAAAGAGCGGCAGCATCTCAATGAGATAATAAGACTCCCAGAATTTTTAAGTGCACTGTGTTATTTAATTTAAACAAGCCATTAAAAGGTAGTAAATGTGCACGTGTGCAACAGAAGCAAAGGCATTCACTCCTTGTAAAATAATAGTAATAATAAAGGTGGCCACTGCTACAGACAATCTGGGATCTTATTAAAAATGTAGAACACATTTCAGGGCAGAAAATAGCTATATAGCACTTTTCCTTTTTTTTTTTTTTTTTCTGTTGGGATGTACTGGGCTTTTTTTCTTCTTCTTTCCTTCTCTGTGACTTTTATTCCACAAAGGTGGCACAGAATTTCAAAGCTTCTTTGGACAAGAGGAAGATATTCTCAGGGGGGGTTATAAAAACAAATGTAATAGAAAGTGAAGTTACATCCATGCAACTGTTGAGAATTCCACAGAAAAACATTGAATATATTTGAAATAGTATTGCATGGACAGTACTAGCCAGTATAACTCAGGGAAAGAAATACATGGAAAATGCTAGTACAATATTGCAGTTTGATTAGTCTTCCATATAACCAGAGCATATGAAAGAGTGAGAGGTTGGTAACTTCCACATCATCAATGTATTCCACAGGAAGGGCCCTCTTGTAAAAATCTGCCCAACAGCAACTAAAATCAAGAGAGGAAGTTCAAAGATGCATTTGAGAGACAAGACACTGGTATTTTCTGTGCAGGTTTACACTTTTTTCCCTTTTTTTCCCCTTTTATTCCCCCTTTCTCTTTTTTTCATCTGGCTTGCAACAAACTGCCTTTAGCAGTCACATCTGAGTCTGTGTTAAGGGACATTATGCATCAATCCCCTCTTCTCTATTTATTTATTTTAATCCTGAGGAGTTCATAGCATTCAGATTCCCTGGAAACTCTTTTCCAAGAATATAATATATTCCTAGTATAATTGACACATTTTGTATATCTCTGCAATCAGATTACAAAGGTACTAGTTTTTGCTGACATGAGAAGAACACACTGGAAGAACTAAATGAACCCATGACTCAATTAAAACCTTGAATATATTATTTCTCTATGAATACACCATTACTCTTGACTTAAAAATAAAGATACTCTTTTCATTACTCATAATGGTCAGTTCTCCAGGTCTTTAGAGACCTTTGCAGAACTGAATGAAATACAAAATCCATTTCAAATGGAAGACTCTGCTAGACAAGCAAAGTCCAGCAAGACATTTAAAATACCAGGACAAGGTAGGAGAAAAAAAGTACCATCAGTTTGTAGTAGAATTCATTAGTGGAATCTCCAAGTAGATTTTCATGGGTTACTTTGAACAGTATTGGCAATTGCACGAGCAATTGCCTCCCCTCCTGTGGCCTTCCCCTGGTCAAAGCACTTTATGTCACGATGGAAAAAAGAGCCCAGAGCCAAAAAACCCCTAAGTGTAAAACTGAACAGAACCAGTATCTTGTCTGACAGGTGATGGTTGCAGTTCACAGCTGCTGGCTCAAGTGCTATAAGCTCATTTTCTAACCCCTGTGAACTTCGCAGCAGATATTTGCATTGTTTGTTATTGCCCTCATCAACAGCAGTCCAGGATTGGGATTAATCACTCCTCTTGTCTCCTTTCCAAATGAAGGCTGCAAAGTCTCAAAGCACTGGATTTCTTTGAGCACAAAAGGTCACTTTGGAACGCAAGATTTGTTTCTAAATTTCCTTTGCAGTTTCGTTCTTTCCAGGAGTGACGTTTTGTGGCACGTGATTACTGAACATCCATCTGTGTATTTCTGTGAGGAAACTTCACTGGGACAATATAAACATCTGCTTAAAGCTCAAGTATTGTATCAAACAAGTACTGTCAATGAATGATCAGAATCTTATTTTAAAACGTTAGAAATGGCAAAGGTGACTGACTGCAAAATGATTAATTTTTTGTAATGAACTGGGACTCTAAGTGCTGTACAAGGCTTTGGTAAAGCGTGTTGCAGCCACTGACAAATTTCATTTAATTTAATTTGTCCTTTAAGTTAAAAACAAATAGAGTAAGTGCCATCTGTCATTCAGGTGAACCCAAAAAACCTAAGATTTGCTTCAGCAAGTTAGAATCATACTGCTTTCTACAGGATTGAGGGTATTTCCCAAGGTCTAATTTACAGATATTTGGACGATTTTGCCAATTGCCAGTTCAGTCCCAGTGCCCTGATGTTGCAGTCAGCCAACTTTTGGGTGCAAGATTCTATTAAACAGAAAGATGAAGAGAACAGGCAGTGAGGAGGGCGAGCGGCTTGCAGCGGGCTCCCTTCGGACCCCTCGGGAGAATGGCATGTTTCTTCATGCTCTGCCAGTCAGGAAAGTGAGACCCAATCGAAATTTCAAATGGGAGTGCAAAGCTTTCCTTTTTCTCTTGTAGTTTTAACGAGGGCAACGATCCAAGGGGTTTAATAAAGAGCAAGTGATAAAGCCCTGACGTTCGCTCCCACTGTTGAGCGCAGAACCAATCCCTCGGGAATTCTCTCCCCACTGCTGGACACATTCTCTTCACACAGGAGCTGCCAGCTCCATTCATCTGCAGCTGTACAAGGAGCCTTGTCTCCTCTGGATAGGGAAGGTCAGAGCCTGGGGCTTGTTGCCCTCCAGAGGCATTGGCCCCGTGGGAGCCCCACTGGCCACGTGTGCCCGGCCAAGGGTGGCAGAGGCAGACGGGCCGGGCAGTCCCGCTCCAGGAGCAACGGGATCTCAGCCCCACTTTGGGAAACCAATTGTTTGTGATGACATCATTTTGTTGGTACTGGGCGCTCAGTAACAACAACTGATTCGCAAGCTACGAGGTTCTGGTTTGGAAAGCCCAATTTATATTTGATGCTGTGACTGAAAACTCAGTTCCTTAAGGGGTTGAAAATTTAAACTGATGCAAAATGCAGGAAAATTTAGGTGCTTGACTTCTCAAGTCAACATGAGAAAGCAGAGCTTTATGGGTAGCTGTTTGTGAGAAACACCGAAATGCACACACACACTGGGCCGCTATTTATTTTTGCTAACAAGCAGCAAAAACAAATAGGACAAACACCACATCTCGAACATGAACACTTCTCCAAAGAGGTGGGGACTGAAGAGAAATCCAGGAATGTTTTTCGATACATTCTGACATCAGGGCATGAAGGCACACACAGCATTCCTACAGAACAGATGGGAGCACTGGGAGCAGGGGCCGGTGGCCTGACCTTGCCGTTGGTTAGAGGACAGATTAGTGCTAATCCCACCGCCCGAAACCTTGGTCAGTTCCCCGCAGGCTCCGCGCCCGGAGCCGGCTCCGTCTTACAGGGAAGATGAAAGGCAAGCTGAGCTGCAGTTTGACCTCCTTCATTCCAAATAACACAGGGAGTAAACTAACAACTTTGTAAAACTGCACAAGAAGGGGTATTTACATTTGGCTGCCATCCTTCAGGGGTACTGGAAAAACATGGCACTGCTTTGCAGATCAAGGTGTTTCCACCGGTTTCTCCAGTTATTTTCCCTTGATATTGGACATGAAACTTCTTTGGTCTCAATCTAAGTGAAAGTCACCTAAATGTGGTTGAAAGTATTATGGAAAAAAGTATCCCCCCCCCCTTTCAGTTTACTTTGTGCTATCTGCACCATGCTCACACACCTTGAACAGGAATGTGATAAAGGTTCCCTTGTGCTGAATCAGCATCAAGGAAGCTGGGCTTTAAAACCAGATCCATGACCCTGTTCCCTGTCTCATCAGCTGTACAGGATGACACACAGCACCACTCCAAGAGAGGTGGTAAAACCAATTTAAGTTTAACAAAAAAAATAGTAGGGAACTTTAAAAACTATTTTAACATACTGAAAACAAAATAGAACACCTACATACTAAGTATGAGAAAGCATAAAAATTCCAATCCCCTGTCAGTCTGAGATGAGTTCAGAAGTCCCTGAACTTCACTGCCACAACAGTATCACTTTTTGCAAGAAAATACTTGGGCCTTTGTGCAAAATTGTATTCCCTTATGGGAACCTCACAAAACCTTCCCCATGAGAATTTGTTCTGCACTGGGTGCTCTCCCCTCAACATGGATCAGCTGCAGCAGCTCCAGGGCTGATCTCAGCATCTTGTGGGAAGTTGAACAACTAAAGCAATATGCAGTTTATTTTTAATGGTCTTGTAAAGAGCGTGGTTACTAATTTGAGGATAAACAGCCAGTGCAATTAGGGGATCTTTGCCATTCATCTGTTCTGTAAGATTTTCTGCATTCAGCTGCTGCCAAAGTGTTCCATGTGGTTTGGAAGGGGATCCTTCCTGCCATCGCCTCCAGCAGAGTGAGGAGCAACTGACCAACATTTCCCGGCCCGCCGGTGTTTCAGTGGGAGAGGGAGGAAGCAAAGGACTCGTGGCAAGTCTAGAAATGGGAAGAGAGCGACAGGGAGTTCCCTAAGCCCACACGGGCCCAGCTGCCTCAGTTGTCATGACAGAGAGTGGCCAGTTGGTCAAAGGTCTGACATCATCCAGTGGCAAAGTTTCTAGGGATAGGTTTGGGAAGCGGAAGCAGAAATTACTGACGAGATTTTAAAAACACGACAGAGCGTGGCTACGTTTGCTCTTCTCTACTGCTCTGGGTTTGTTTCCAACCTCCCTGGTCCTACCAGTCAGCATTCCTGTCACACGGGCACGGAGCTGTGTCGGACATCACGCCGTGGGGGAGAAGGAATGGAAAGGACTAAGTGACAGTTTTCTAGATCTATTTCGCTCTAAGGACATGAGGTACAAGGTTCAATTCAGAAGCAAAAGTGCTGTAGCACAGCACAGTAACTTCAACTGTATCCCAGTTAGGAAATTCCTAAAGCCAGAAACATACACATTGTCAACCAATAAAAACCGAGGGCCAGGACGACACGCTGGCGAGCTTTGCAGGAGAAGGTTTTCACAGAAAAAGAGAAACGTTTTTATGAGTTTTTCAAGAAACTACGAACCAATCCCACTTGACTGACTTAATTTGCAAACAAGACTGTGCAGCACCAGGTGCTCAAGAATTAAATAGCAAGTCTAAAGAAAGGAGAACTAAGATCTAATTGTATGTTGAAGTTAACACTAGGAATACTGCTGGTAAATGAAAATTAGGTGTATTTACATGGAGATTAAGTGACTGGTGTCTTTTTAAGGCACAGGTAACGTAACCCATGGTGGCGATGGCCAGTCTAGTCAGTACAGGATGCAAAATCAAAAGCCTGCTTCCCAATTTACCCCTGTGCTGCACAGTCAGGGCATTGAGCTAGAACAGTCTTAAACCCAAGTTAAAACGCTCTGTGTACCTCCTTCCTTCTTCTCTGCTTCATCTCGGATGAGAGGGGACGTGAGTATCACCTTCAACGTGAGCTTGGGCTCCTTTGTGTTACGGATAACAATAGCTGCCTCATTTACATGCTCCTCCACCAGATACTTCTCTTCTGTAAGTTTCTGAAAGTCACCAACAAAGATTTCAAGAATCTCCCAGTCAGCTGGAAGGCTGCAGAATCTGTCTGTGAGCCTCAGCTGGTGAGAAGCCCACAAGACACTGCAATAACCAATAAGGCCTTGCCCTCCTCATTCAAACCACTTCAGACATTTCTTTTCTAGCCCGTCCTGCCTTACCACTTGCACCATTAACGTGCCTTGTATCCCAGTTCTCTGCAGTGATCTCTCTGCAGGTCTCTGGGCAGTCCTTTGGGACTCTCTCAACCTCCAGAAACACAAGGAGAGCCACAGATGGCTCCGAGTCCTGCAGCCAGCCCTCCTGCATGCGAGTCTGGCTCACAGACCACAGGGGCACAACATATATCTGATGTCTGTCCGACTCCTTCCCCTGCTGCATCTGCTCTCCTGCAGCTCCTTTATTGTGGGGAGGAAAATGGCTGAGCATCTGCTCAGGATGAGCCTTCAAAGCAGAAGCTGCTGACATCTGTGTACGGCACTTGTTCCTTTTGTCCACTAATGGGCCTAAACCCTCCTTCCCCTCTGGCACCTGAGCCCTCTGCACAGCCTCTCCTGGCCTCCATGCCCAGACAGCTGGAGTGTTTCATGAGTCAGAGCCTCATCTTTGCTGTAATCCCCACCATAATTCCCCCAGGATCTTACCTGCCTGTCCCTTGGATTTATTCAGTCTTCACATCTTTTAATTACATCTACTCTCCCATTTCATCTCACTTTTTTTGAAGCACATACTAACTTTTCTTCTCACTTTCAACCCTCCTCATTTCATGCCTCACTACAAACAAAATTTACTCTTTTAGTACTCAGTACATCCCTATCATTTTCCAAAAAGTAAAATGAACTCTTTACTCCTCAAAAGATCCTTTGCATTTTCAGCTGTGGATAGGGCCACATCTGCAGGTACAACATTAGCTCATTAAAACAAGCCCTTTGTGTGAGCAAATAATGGAGAGAAAGGCAGATCAGGAGAAAAGCAGGTCGAGTTTGGTCGTGGTTTGGAGAGGGGCACCTGCAGTGGAATACCTGGGCAGCTCCTTGGCACCAGTGTTTGTCAGTCTGGAAGCTGAACTCATTCCTCAGCCTCGGAACTCAGGCACAAAGGTGGTCTCCCTAAACAAGCTGTGAGTGCTGCCTGCTGCATGTCAACATCAGAGTTAAACAGCCAGAAATAAAGTGAATATGAGCTGATTAACACAGCCAAAGCGAGCGACCACCTAACGTGACACCTTCTCCCTTCAGCAGCACAGAGGGGATCCTGTGGGAACAGCCCAAGCCAAGCAGCTCCAAGGGGAACTGCAGGCTCAGGCAGGAGATGGGACAGCAGCAGGGACTGAGGGACACCCTGGGGCAGGGGAGGTTCTGGCACTGCAGTTCAGCTCACACTGGCTGGCCCAGAGAGCCCAAACGTGCTGGGTTCGTTCCACACACGAAGGTCACTGCCCTCAGTGTGCCTGCACACACAGGAGGAGGCAACAGCAGCAGGAGGGTGTTCCATTTTGTGAGCAAGTACTTCATGGCACCACATTAAACATCTCACACGCCCCAGATTTCGTCCTAGATTCAAACTATATTCCTTTATATCACTTGTCTTTCTTCCTGGAACAAATTGCAGCCTTTCCCCAAATACCCTTGGCAGTGCCGCCAGTTCAGGACTGCCCCAGATTAACTCACCTGAATTTGAGCTGGGAGATTGTCTTTAACGATACATAACAAGGTCTTTGTGGGTTTTTCTTTGCACATAAGAACCAGCTCCAGATCCATATCGTCCTTTATCAGCAAGCCCTTTGCAACCAAGCCAATTCTCATCACACCACAGAGCGTCCGACCACCTTGATCCCTGGAAATGAAACAATTTGAGCTAATTAAAATGGCATTTTAATCTCCAGATGTAGTTTAGGGGAACCTTTAAGAGCCACAGTAAAGAACTTTCAAAGCAATGTAAAGACACTTTAATTTTGAGTACTGAAAGACTGCAACAGAAGCCAGTTTTGCAGACTGGGATTGCTTAAAAACATGAAGAGAAATGCTCGTCTCATCCAGTTGTCTGCAAAGTGTTTACTGCAGGCTTGGATTACTTTTTAAAAAAAAAAAAAAATCACTGTTGCTGTGGGGCTGAGCTGCTGGCTGGGACTAAACCACAACAGTACAGGAAGGTAATGGAGCCTTTGTTGGGCTGCTGGATTATAAAAGGGTTTTTTGTGTATTAAACTGCACAAGCCCCCAAGCAACGTGGCTGTGGATTTGCAGTGCTGTGTTAAAGGGACATATATTTGCTTCAAACTGCTGAGAGGTTTGTCTGCTAAATGCAACTTCACAACACCACAGCAAAATAAACAAAGACCCAGAGAGCAACTGCTGCCCACACTGGGCTCACTGCCATTCCCTGCTCCCACCCCAGATAGTCCAAATATATCCCCTTCCTTCTCTGAACATTCCCATGCAGCAGAACCAAGAGACACAGGGACTCTTTTCTGGGAGGAAAGGACCTGCTGAGAGCAGCACAGGGACACTGTGAGGGGAGGGGGAGGCTCACTTGGCAGTGCCTTCCACGGCTTCCTCCTTGGCTTCCACATCACCCTCACACTTGGCAGACTTGTTCTTCTCATCCATCCAGTCAGAGACATGCTTAAGGGCACATTCTACTGTGGATACCATGTTCTGGACAGCTTCAAGTTCCTCTGGAGATGGATAAATGGTCGAGTGTTTCACCATTACGTGGCGGTCATCGTTAGCAAACGATCGGATCGATCTCTGTGTGGAGTGGGAAACGGGAGGAAAAGAGAGCAAAGGTACTGGATTATCAACAGGACTGCCTGAATGGGAATCCTCCCTGGCAGGGGGAGTAATGTCTCTTAGGACAACCATTGCTTGTAATGATGCAGAAGCGATTTCTTTAAACAAACTTCAAAAAGAAAAAAGCAAACACCAGTACAAAAAAATCAGCATTAAACCAGTAAAACTTACTTTCACTTTCTTCCACTTCTCCCTGCCCTCCCCCACCAAGATTCTCTTGGAGAAGAGGGCATGGTCTGGCTGGCTGAGTTTAACAGTGCTGAAGCAGGAGAATACAAAACCCCTGGTTCCAGTCCCAGTTTCATTAAATGTCTCTGACCTCCCTCTCCTTTGACTTGCTTTGTTCTTTACATTAACCTTTCAGTCAGTGAGAAATCACTTGGACTCTGCTCTTGCTGAAGGACCTACATCTCATGGAGATACAAACTGTGAGCAGGAGCACTGAGGGAAAGGGGGGCTGCCCTACCTTGGGATCCTTGCAGGAGTTCAGGTGTTCCTGGATTTCAGCAATCTTTGTTGCCTGTGCCAGCCTTCAGCAGCTGGATAGCTCAGAGCACAGGGCAGAGCAGGGTCCTGATGCCAAACAGCAACCTCACCTCAGGGCAGGGAATTCAGCACATGAGCATGTCAGGGTGGGAGCAGACTGGGCAAAGCGTTGGAAAGGAGGGCAGGCAGGGAGAGAAGATTCCTGTTTTGTAAAAGGTGTTAACACTTTCCAAATGAAATATTTGCCGATTCTGGACGTGCTGAGTGCAGCCACCCATCCTCTCTTTATGCCAGGGACAACAGCAGCACACCTTGGAAGAGGCAGTCAGAGAGCCAGTCCCTCACTGCTGCTGCTGCAGATGGAGTCACAGCAATGCAGATGCTACAAGAGGCTCAGCAACTGCACAGGGATTTACAAAGCCACGAGTGAAGATGAGGATAAACTGGTAAGAGGAGACTGAAATAATTTCGTTTTTAAAAAATTTCAAATGAATACAGAGATGAGAGTGCTAATTAAAAAAGTCTGGAGTGATAGTGCTGAGGAAGTTGAACTTCAGTGGTTGGGTAACCCCTGCTAGGAAGATTTTGGTTTGCCACACACTCTCCAGGTGAGACTCCTTTGATCTGAGTGGTGCCCCAGACCAGCTGTGATCACAGCACACACCTCTGGCAAGGGCAGCAATAAGTCTTGGTCTCTGCAGACACATCAATCACTGCTGAAAGCCTCCTGAAAGCCTCCCAGACCTGGGAACCACCAGCCAAGAACCTTTGTTCCTCCTACACATTAAGCACCTTAATTAGGCTTCATACTCACCCCAACTCCACGGGTTTGAGCTGTACACATTCCTAAAACACAAAGGGCCTTTAAGGGACCTCAGAGGCCTCTGGGCTGGATCCCTGGTAAGGAACTGTCCATGTTCTCCTGGTCTATTCCACTCACTGAGTCCCTTCCACTGAAGGCCACTGTGACACCATCCTTACTCCTGTGCTCCTGCCCAGATGGATAACTTGGGCAGTAACAGCAGCACATCCACCAGGGGCTGGTGTTATCCCCTGTTCTTTGGAAGGCTGTAAAACACTTCCAGGAGGTCCCTCTTGTGGTTATCCATAACATGGATACAGCAGGAGCTGCAGGGAAACTGCTGAGCTGCATTTAACAACTCACCCCACCGTGTCTGATCTTCCCAAATATCAATTAGGAAGGACAGGAAAACAGGAATAAATTGGTAACTCTCAAGTTACAAGACACGTGTTTTCCCTTCTGATGAAGAGGCTCTGACAATATCAACTCATTACAGTTTAGGTCAAAAAGAATGACAAAATGGGACACTATTTAAAATAGAGTCCATTGACAACTCTGCTTTGCCAAGTGTCCTTCCTCCCTTTGTGCTCTGTAACTGGTGAAAGTCTTAGTTTAACACAATATAAATGTGCAGCCTATCAGCAGCAACCAGCTACACAACTACTAGTGACACTATTTAAAATTTATTCTCATTTCCATTCAGTAATAACCTTAGAGGGGTTAAAAATACATAAATATGCTTCAAGTGCTCTTCCCAGGTAATTTTCAGGAACTGAGTAGGTCTGTTGCATTTTTGTGAACACATTTTCAGCATTTTACCATCACAGCACTCCATTCTTGCAGACCTTTACAAAATCACGTCTCAGGCATTCCCAGTGTGGAGCCAATCCCAGGCAGATGAGAGGTGAGTCCTCACTTGAACAACGTTCACCAGGTATATGTGGCTGAACACGTTTGATCTGCACAGAGCCACGCTCAGTCACTCGCAGGTATGAATAACAATGCTTTTGTGAGAGGAGGTGGAAGGGGAACGTCAGCATTTGGTGATGCAATCTGCCAGTTCAAGGTCACTGATGCTGTTTGCTACAGCCTGCTAATGCCAGTTTTATTAGAAAACCTTATGAGCATCCCCTTGGTTCGTATTTAATAATTCATGGACTGCAGGCTCACAAGACAACTCTCTGGTTTTAAGAGGCTGACAATACATCAAACCTTGCTTTGCTCCAAGTATGCAGCACCAGCCCTCAGTTAGTGCAAGGTCAGAAAATCCCCTTCCTGGGGGTTGCTCAGGCCCCATGCAAGACTGGCAGCAGAGAACACTTTCAGTACAGCCCCGTGAAAGGCAACAATTACCTACCATGGTTTGTTAGTGTTTCAGCTCTCTCTCCCTCCCTTTCTCCTTTTCCCTCCTCCTTGGTGTCTTTGCTAAGCACTGTTTTGCCTGACAGAACCTCTTCATAAGCCTCTCAGTCCCTTGACAGCTCAAGAGTTCATACAGCCAGGATTCTCCGGGAGTCACTTTGTCTGATTCACCTGCAAAGAGAGAGAACCAGCTGAAAGCAGCAGCAAGGGCATGAGGAGTCCAGAAGGGCTCAGTGCAGCACACCCAGCCCAGCACCGCTCAGAGCAGCCTCTGAGCCAGTCACTGCCCAACCAGCAGCAGTCCCTGGGGAAAGCAACCTCCTGTGATGTGCCCACAGGTACCAACCACTGCCTCGTGCCAGAGCTGCCCTCAGGAGCTCTGTCAGCCACTGGCAACCCCAGTTCCTGGGATGAGGAGGCAGGAAATCCAGCACTGCAAGCATGCTCCACATGAAACCAGCTCAAGAAGTCTCTATTTTTATGTCCCATGCACGCTGGCAATCAAACACACCACATTTAATCATCCAAAGGTAATTATCCGTTGAAATCCCCAGTGCAGCCCTCCACCCTGTGTCAGATGCTGCACAACAAGAGCCAAGGCTTCAGGTGGCAATAACTGCAAGTTGTTATTTAAAGAAAGACAAGCACATTCCCCAAACTGCAGACGTCAGACCTGCGAGCAGCTCAGCTGAAATCACCCACACCGCCTGTGCTGCCCGAACACTGCCTCTCCCAGCACTCAGCACTGAAAGATCCTGGGAGAGCAGCCTTCTGGGACTAAACTGGGAAACAACCTCCAGCACTGGCAGCAGAAAGCTGCAAATAAATGCTCTGTGAGGGAGAAGAGCAGAAAAACAGAGCAGGTAATGTGAGAGGAAAGCATAAGCTCACTGCACAGCAAGACACTCCAGTCCTTGCAGAAAATTCCTGTTTTCCTTTCACTGCACATACTGTTGCATCAGCTCTCCAGCAACGTTTTGAAGCAATTGGGAGCCCAGTCAGTAAATTTGTGCAGCCTGACACAGGCACTCCAACGTTCTCCTGTTCTCCTGGCTGCCGACCCCCCTTCACCAGCAAGATGCTGCATATTGTGTGTCAGAGAATCCTGACATTGTTCGAGATTAAAAGCATGTTTGGCAACAGCAGAGGGGTAGGTGAGATGACTTGAAAGCTGAGGAGATGCTTAGACTGCGGTGTGACAGGGAATAATTAAAATGCTGCATCCTGTAGAGATTTGAACTTAACGGGGGAAAAGGCAGCAACAAATCCTACTTCCCTATTTCCCCAGTTCAGAAGAAATTAAGGACCAGCAAGTGCCTGGCAGTTGTTTGTTTTGCACACCCCTGAATTCAGGGTACAGAGCTGGGTAAACCAAAAAGCAGCCAGACGAGAACACTGTGCAGAGACCTGCCTGCTCCAGCAGCTGCAGCTGCCAAGGAAGAAACCCCAGGAGAGTGAAGTGCAGTCTTACTAAAAATACTTGGGAAAAGCAAGCTAATGAAAACCCTGACTGCCCCCACTTCTCATCACAGAGCTCTGTACCCACCAAGGTGTATTAACACTCTACCAAATTGCTTCCCAGAAGCAATCACGGAAGGGGATGTTCTTTCACAGGACCAGCCTCTTCTCTTAAGAGATCCTGAAAGCCAGGCAGGGGCAGCTGGGAGGGAAAACCAGCAAAGATCAGTGCTTTGGAACTGTTTGTTCTGTGAGCTAGTCAAGCTTCTCCACACTCCACAGCTTTTCCCCATCTCCAGAACCAACTAGACTCTGTACAGGGTCTTTCTGTTTTGCATAACAATCATAACAATAACAACAATAATAACAGTTTGAGTCAGCAGAGAGACTTCTATGAGACATGTTTCTAGATCATCTATTTCAAATGACTCTCTGTCCAAACTCAGTTCTGGCTGTCTTCACCTCCTCTTCCTCCCTGCCACACCCACACTTCACCTTTTGGGTGGGTGGCCGTACCTTGGCTGTTGCAGGCAGAGAGCAGGGCCCTGGGATGAGCTGCTGACGGCAGCAGTGTCCGAGGGAGCAGCACCAGCCTGGCCTCCTCCCCACACTCCTGCGAGCTGTTGCTTATCAGCTCTCACAGGGCACTGGGAGCAGATGGGCAGACAGAGCTGGCTGGGCAAATTCTGGGGCTCAGTAAATGCTGAGCAGGCTGTTGTCCAGAGGGCAAGTCTGCAAGAGACACCACGAGCTCTGGGAACAGGCACTCCTCAGGGGGGCAGATCGGGACGTGCCCAGTGCTTGTCAGTGTTGGAAAATCCAGAACAGACCAAAAATAAGTGTTTCACTGCTAGGATGGGGGTTAATCTGCTGCTGGACTGATGCAGCACACACACCACCACCTCTCCATACCCTGCCCTAAGCAGGCAGGAACCTGTTGTCTTGTTTTCAAGACAGGTGCAGTTTTCAGTGACAAGCAGAAGTTGTTGGATGAAGGTATTTATGAGATTGGTTTCACCTGCCTTTTTTCTCAGCAGGGCATGGCTGAGGTCAGGGCACAGACAGCTGAACTACAAAGGGACCTTTATTATCAAATTCAGAAAGCTGGGAAAAACCCTCTGAAAGTTGAGTTGAAGCTGATATGTCTTCCCAGTCATTAACATCCTACGAATATTTCAGAAACACGCACAGGAGTGAAACCCTAATTTAGTTCAGACTTTGAGAGAACATGTTCAACAAAAGCACTAAACAGGAGGGAGTTTACTATAAAAGTGTAGACACAATATACAGAACAAAGTACATCTGACAGCATGCAGAATTAAATTAAGGAAAACCAAAATCAAATCTGCTCCAACCATATGGACTAAGGCAGCACAACATAGCTCAGCACCAAATACATCAGAAAGCATTATGTGAAGTGAGCAGCAATTCCATAAATCCAACAGCCTCGTTCCACTACCAGCCTACAGCAGGATATTTGTTCCTGCATCCTCAGGGAAGTTACAGCTGATGCCCAGTCCCAAAAGCACAGCGTTAAAATGTGGCTGTCTTACCCAGGGGCTGCCACCACACCTGCAAGGAAACTTCTACCCAAAGCTCCTCGCACCAACCCAGACCTCGGTGACCTTGAAAAAGTCCCTTTTCCTCTGCAGCATGTGGCCCTGAAGTGTAAAACAAGAGTAAACAGTGGCTGTCTCCAAACCAGGTCACGGCGGAGCCGAGCGGAGTCTGCAGCGTGGTTTAAAATCACTGGGGATTTGACACATTAGAAATGTTATTAAAACACCATGACAGTGTAGCAACAGTTCCATTAAACATCCCATCCTTCACAGAGGAAGTTTATGCTTTGGCACAAGACAAACGAAAAGAATTTCAGATGAGGCTTTTGTAGTAGGAGATATTCCTGCATCTGCAGCTGCATTCCCCAGGGACAGGCAGTTAAACAGCCAGGGGTGATGAATATGCTCAGCTGCCTGGCAGTGCCTGTGAACAGAGTGAAAAGGCAGGAGAAACAGGTACTGCCACTCCATGGGGACTGAAATACCAGAGTCAGGGAGCCATGAGCTTCTGGAAAGGACACATGAACTGTGTTTGGCATCCCAGTATCCCCCTGGAGCAGCACCTTGCACGGAAGGGTTCCTGGGGCAGTAGAGAAGAGGGAATTGGGGTCACTGGACACCAGTGCTCCAAACCCTCCCTTCAGCCAGCTGCTGGGCAGGCTCCTGGCCAGGCCAAGTAGAACACCGTGAAAATTGTTTTTTAATGCTCCATCAAGAAGGCACACGCTAACAATGTCCAGCTGAAGCACTAAAAACACCCTCCACCCTCCTAATCTACCCTGACACCAGTATCTGCCCAGTTTGCAGTGTGCACCACCCCAAGAGCAGGCAGAGCTTGCATTAACAGAGCAGCAAGGTTGCTGATCACAAACCAGTGAGTATCTAACACAGCCCGAGGTGCACCACACACGGCAACAGAAAAAACTGGAATTTAGATCCTTTTTTGTGACCTTCAAAAGTCAGAATGAGAGGCTTGCAGCTTCAAGCTGGAAGTTTATTTTAGCCTCTGCTTTGCATTCAGGGGACAGGTAATTTTTCGTCACACCACACAAAGTGCTGCTGAAAATATGTTGTGTTTTTTTCTGCAGTATAATTTTATTGCTGGCCTTCTGCCAAGAGTCTTTCTGGCAGCATCTCCCACAGTTGGAAACTGTGTATCTGGGTCAGAAAAGACAAGCGGCTTTTCAGAACAGCTCAATACATTTGGCAGAGATGCTGATATTGTAATTGAACTCTTTCAGCAACTCTCTTTATGATGTACCCAGACACCAAACAAAACAAGATCTGCAGTGTTGATTAATGTCAAAATAACTGACAGAGGAATATCAAAATAGTTTTCCCTCATGTTAAAAGTATCAACAAACCGAGGGGAACAGATAAGAAATACAATTCATGAGGATTCAGAGAGGAGCACAGGGCAGAGAAATCTGCAAAGCACGGCTGACCTGCTCCCTGGGCAGATATTCCCCAGCTAAAATCCCAGCTCCCTGTTCCCTGCACAGAACTTCTCACGAGAGATCGTGGCCACTGTCAGCCCCAGCAGCACCGGAAGGAGTGCTGCCCTAACCCTGGGATCCAGGTTTAACAAGGCCAGACTGCTTCCAACAATGTGCTCAGCGTCCAATTTCACCTGCAGACTGTGTATCCAGAGGAGTTCCATTATTTTCCATGTAATGCATTTCCTGGCAAAGTTGCATCTGGGTTAGCCTTCAGAAGGCTGGAATTTTCCAGCCAAATGAATAATTACAAAGCAACACTACAGTTAAAAGCTGGAAAGGTACTTCCTCTGGTGAACTCTTACACTTCATGCAACAACCACTCGAGGCTGGGGTCACTCCTGCCTGCTCAGTCCTCACAACATCTCAAGGAAAGGCTCCTGTGCTCGGGGATCTCTTGGAGCAGCCCCAACAGCCAGGTCTGAGTGCCAAGGACAGGGCCTGATAACCAGATCTGGAACCAGCCCTGAGGAACCAAAGTCACCTTCCAGGATGCAGAGCTCTGACAGCTTGGACAGCAGCAGGAAGGGAAGCAGCTGCCCACCTGTCAGTGTGGAGCGAGGGACTGGAGAGCCCCTGGAGAGAACCCAGCTGTGCCAAGGCACAGGCAGAGAACTGGGGGAACCCAGGCCAAAGATGCTGCTGAAAAAGGGTCAGCACCTGCACTGCCCTCCAGCTGGGGAGTGAGGACTGGAAACACAGCCCAAATAAAGCACCCTGGCACAGCAATTAAAGAAGCTGAAGAGTCAAAGCCAAGCAATTGCTTATCTAGATTAATGTATTAAGGTAAAAAGAAACAAGGATGTCAGAGTGTAGTCTGTATTTTTAGCTCCTGGAAAGAGGGTGAAGAAAAGATGGTCTAAGGGGAAATCATTACCAGCCTAACAGGAAGGTTAAAAAAGGAACAACAGAGGCACTGTGTGAGCACATATACAATCATCTGAAGAAGAAAATGCTCTATTTTAGATAGAATCACACCAGCCAGTCTCAAAAAGAAATGTCATTAGTAGAAATAACTGCAGCTATTGAATGTATAAGAATATAGTTTTAGAAAGAATATAAATCCCTCTCCCTTAGGATTTAACCTACTGCTGACTACTGAGGACTGGAAGATGCAGCACCATGCTCACCAGGTGGTCTTCAGAGCACACCCCAGCATTATTTTTTACATAAATCTGCCTCCAGATTTTTATCTGCCTCACATTCCCTGCCACCTGCACCACCCCCAGCACTGCCAGGGCTACAGGGGGTCTCTAAGGAATCATTTTGAAGGTGCCTCCACCTCTTGGTATGGGTGTCAGGACACAAGACTGACTAGAGACACACCAAGTGCAAAAAGATTTAAGAACCGTCTGATGACAAATAACAAATTGACACATGAACAGTTTAATGTTTTTCCTGTTCAACCAGTCAGAAATATCCAAAACTGAATTGCCTGTAAATCTGAGCACTACAGAAAATAAAACATCTTAAAGGGTGAATTTCTTGGCAGGTGGCTTGAAAAAATAAAATAAAAAGTCACAGATTGGATAATACATAAATAATGAATAGCAAAGTGTTCATGTGAGACAAGGCAGAAACCACCACTGGATTCTCAATGTCTGTGAAATGCTAAACTCATTTCTGGCTTGTGACTCCCTGACAAAGGCATTCCTGCTCTCCTGGCTCAATTGGACAATGGCAACCTGAAGCTACTTTGCAGTCATAATCTAACATCCACACTCAAAACCATCTTGAATTCCTAACGCAGGCTGCATTCATTTACAGTTGAAGAATTAACTAAATTAATAACAGGATTACATTACACTGAAATGACACTCACCATCTGCAATGTCATTTTTCCAGAGAAAGAGCTGGTTTAAGCAAAATTCTGGATCTATGCCTGAAATGACATCACATTCTCCAAAAGAGAATCACAGTTCTACCTCCTCCACCACACAGTGCCATGCTGGGCTCCTCACCATCCCAGCACTGAAGCTCTGCAGATCCCAAACTCCCAGAGATCCCCCCATCCCTGTCATGGTGTCCACTGCCTTCCCTGCCAGGCTCCCTCTGCTCCTCAGCCACCATGTCCAGGGGACCAGGAACAGGGACATTCCTCACCCAGCACCCTTCAGCTTCCCCAGAATAGCTGCAGTGCCCCAGTTTCCCTGCTGCTATGATTCATATCCCATAGAACACGGGATACTGCAGGTGGACCTGAGCTGCAGCCCAGCAGAGCTCCCCAGGGATGGGCTGGGGGAGCAGCCAGCGAGGTGCCACTGCCACCAGAAGGGTCTCTCCCCCTCGGGCACACGCCGGGGACAGGCTGGAAGTCGTGGCAGTCCCTGGGGTGGCAATGAGTGAAGTGTAAAAATGGAGACTGGAGAAGAAACTGTCCTGCAGTACCAGTGGCTCTGCTTGTTTTGGTGGCTTGCACTTCTCACCAGGCCGTGAGGCAGAGCTCTGGTTGGCTCTACCAGCTGCTCCCTGCTCTGCAGCTCAGGCTAATGCATATCCCGGGAATTAGGGAGCTGACAGAGGAAGGCAACATGGATCCTGAGCCTCTGCTTGTAAATAAACCAAATGGAGTAATTCTTACAAGGAGCACAATGCCAATAGGTCTTGGAGAGTCACATTTTCCCAGTGTTTACACGAGGTTCCAGTTTCAAAGCATTAGGAGCTTCTGAGAACAAATGCTCTGCCTAAACTTTCAGCAGCCCTCGACAGCAAAATTTAAACAAGCTTCTCCCCAAGAATGTCTTCCCCAACATCAATATATGCAGACACTGTTTTCAGTACTGCAAACCCACACTGGCTGCCGTGCCCCGCTGCCTTCAGCCACTTTAAACATTCATGACTCTCCACTGAAATGCATTTGCTAGTATGTCTGTCTCGCTGCCTCAGTGCCTTCTTTTTTTTAATTAAAGAGAGAGGATTTAAAAGGATTTGGAAGGGAGGACCACCAGACCCTGTGAGTACTGTGCAAAAAGCTCCTGTGCTCCCAGGCAGTGCACATTCCCCAGCAGACTCTGCCCATGGTTTAGTTCCACTGCGGCTCCCGAACAAGTTCAGGGTAATTTTTCACTTCCTGACTAATTGGCTGTTTTGTCAACGAACACGTTGTCAAAGGTTCGGGGTTACTAAAAGCTGAAGGTTTTAAGTGGTTTTTCTTGCCATCTCTTGCCCATCCAACCATGTTATTTGAAGTTTGATTCAACGTCACAACCTGTAATGGCACGGAAAGGTCTGAAACAGAATCTGTAACTACGATCTTGGGCTGTTTGGGCTCTTTTGAAACCCTCTCCAAACACAGCACAAGCCCCACGATGGCAGAGGGGGGGTCTCTAGGGAAGGGCACCCTGCCTACCATCCATTTTCTGCCTCAGAACACAATTATTTACTTCAAATGCACGATAACCCTACCAAAAGATTTGAATTAGGTTACCTAGGCATGAAAGGTAGCAACAACATCCATCAAAGCAAAACACACCACACACTGTCAGTCTGACATTGGTAACCAGGTTATTTGCCTTGGACAAGACTTTGTAGTAGGAAGTCCCAGCTTGGGCAAGAGGAAGAAAAAGAGCCACAAACATATTTAGAGATTTACAAAATTCATAACTAAAAACAAAAGTCCTATTGCCCTGGAAAACTATGAGGCTAAAAATATTTTAAATGGGCTCAATCCAGCATCCTCTGCCTCAGCAGATCTCCACTGCACGCATGTGCTGTCACATCTGCCAACTTCACTTGCGAAACTCATCTGTTATTCCTCTCTCTCCAGCTCGCACGGCACAGGACGGGTTTGCGAGTGGAAAAAAAGGACCTGCAGCAGGGACCAGCAGTGGTGGAAGTGCTCAGTTTGAAGACCACAAGCCAGGCTGCAAAATGAATTTCTCAGTTATATCTGTCAGTCTTAGCCTTAGGAACATCCTGAGTAAGGAATTCCATGACTTTTTCTATTTGCTTATTTTTAATAGGTTACTGAAATGAAAAAGTTTAGCAAAATTAGTTGTCTGTGGAACTGTACTCTCCAGTATCTTTGGAGAACACAACTGTGCCAAGTAAGCGTTCCTGAACCTGAAAAGTTACACTCAATCTTTTTTTATCTTTTGAATTTCAAATGAAATCTTGGGGGGAGAAGAAGCCATCAGATAAATGTGCCAGTCCCATCTGGATGGCAGTTTGAAGGCCATGGCTTTGCTGGTTTGGTCTCTTTACATTTGGGCTATGAATTAGTTTGATTTCTCTTGATAGAGAAATCTTCTCCACTGTGTCACTAGAACAGCAGCAAAGACACTTTCAGCTCTTCACTTGTTAAAGAAGCTCCCTCAGCCTTTGCATTCCCCACCATCTCCTCCAGATCGAGTCACCAGCGTCAGACCTTGCCCTCCTGCCAACATCAGCAGTGAATCTCTGAACAGCAGATCAACATGAGCCCCTTGGAGGCACCCACAGCCCCAGGAACCTTTCCCTGAGCCTGGGCAGGTGGTGACACACAGGGGTGAGGGGCTGGGCAGCCCCCCAGGAGGAACAGCCTGGGCAGCCCCCCAGGAGCAGCACTCAGCGCTCAGCTTGGCAGGGAGATCAGCTCCCAACAACACAACTCGCTCCCCAAAGCTCCCTTCCTACACTGGAGCTGCTAAAAGTAACATTTGAAACTACTGTCAGGGGAAAGACCAGAGAGAAACAGTCCAAGCTGGTTCATTTTGGGACATTAACTGCAGTTTGTGTCTGGCCACCTCAGTTCCCCCAGTAAAGGGAAAGCTGCTGATCCTCCAGGCAACACTGCTGGGGTTTGTTCTGAAGAAGCTGAACTTGGGAAGCCACAACCTGTCAGGGGAGGAGAGCACACGGTTCCAGTGCAGAGGGCAGGATCAAAACTGGCATCAGAACCCAGCTGCCACCCAGACTCAGGGTGTTCTCCTCGGGTGGGCAGGGGGATACAAACCCTTCCATCCCTCAGGGAGAACCAGATCAGAGTGTAAATGTTTTTATTGCCTGTTTAGCCACCTCTGGAAATCTGTGTCCATGTCAACACCATCACTACCACCAAGGGGACAAGATCACTGAACTCTCCTGTCAGCACAAGAAACCTGCCTGGTTTGCAGTCTAAAACTATACTTTTAGTAGCCTAAGAATGTCAGGTTATAATGCCACTGATGTAGCTTATTCCACAGTTCAACCAAAATTCAACTCTATAACCTGAAAATTTTGTGTTGATGAGAAAAATCCTTCTTTAAAAAAAAAAAAAAAAGGATAAGTGTTTTGTGCACTGAAAGAGCACTTGGTTCTGCTGGTTTATGAGTTCCTCACTTTGCACAGCTCCTCTGTTGTGGAAACAAAAGTCTCTGTATTGGGCCTTCCCAGTGACATTTGCAAACTCCTACACTTGCTCCAACAGGATGTTCAGAAACGGTTCTGCCTGGCCTCTAAAAGTTAGTTCATCGTTAATTGACTGCAGAAATACATTAAAGAAAACAATAACAAGATAAAAGAACATCCTTGCAAAGGCTTGTTGCTTGTTTTGAGGGAAACCAAAAGTAATTAAACCTAGCTGAGACTTTTCCAATGAGCATTCTGCTCTAAAGCTTTGGGAACTCAAAGAGCAGCAGAACCACCAGTGCAGAACTGTCACCACCGGGAAGGGCTGTCCCTGAAGTTCAGTGGACAAATACTACCAGGCAGTTTCATGCTTCACAGAGACAAAATCCAGCAGTTAAATTTAGAATGATGATTTCTACAGGCACTCAGATGTTTCTGCTCTAAATTTTCAAGAAATTGCAAATTACAACTTGGCAGACTTTAAACTGACCCAGCGCGTGTCTTGTGCAATCCACTCATGATCTGTCCTCTTACTCTGCACAACTCAGGAACCAAACATCACGCCTTGGAACACAGGATTTCAGACAAGTGACAGAGACAGTCCATCAGTCCCTTCCATTTTGATTACATTATCAAGTTCCAACATGCTTTTATTAGCAAAACAACCAAAATCAGCCCTAAGGAACACGCACAAGAATTCCACCCCACTTCAAACATCCCTGCTGCAGTTGCTGTGGTAGGTGTAAATGTTACACTCTTCGCATTCAGCAGAGACCCCGGGGATTCAAGTGACTTGCCCAGTGCCTCAGTAAAGCAGTGGCAGGACTTGGAAGAGCAGTTTTTCAGTTAGTGCACACACCAAGCATCCTCTCCCCCCTCTTCAGCTTTTCCCCCTTTCCTCAGGCTTCATTAGTTCCACTGGAGCAGCCACTGCATTCCTGACTGCCCTTGCTGTCCCACCTCTGCTGCAGGACACAGCCCTTCCCACAGCTCAGCCTGGCAAAGTGTCACAGGGAACCTGCACAACAATCACCTGTGCATTCAGGAGATTCAAATGAGCAATTCAGGGTCTGAATGCGGGGTGGGTAAACTCTGGAATCTAATTCACGATGTGGCCTCCTTTCAGGCATCACATTTTTTGAGCGCTCTGCTGTTCTCAAAGTCAAACTGATGTGGGCTCAGGGACCTCGTGTCTTTTTCCAGAGAGGACAGTGGAGCCCCTCTTTTGTCAGGCAGCAGGACACACACAGGGAGGAACAGGAGCCAGGACAAGAACAACATTCCAGGGCACCAGCAAGGGACACGAGCCTCTCTGCAAGGTAAGGGGAAGCTTTGCAGCCCTGCTCTGTAAAGCAGCTCCTCAGCACTGAGCACCTCCCTCTGCACACCAAATTCTGCCATATGGTTTGGCTTTGAAGGAAAAAACCCACAGGCAGCTGCCTTTGCCTCTTGGTTTTTAGAGCTTCAAGAGGGAGTTCGTTCTTCCCTCTCTCTTAAAAACCAAACAAATTAACCAGTCAACCCCCCCAGCCTTTACACCAGATATTAGGTGGCCATCTAAAACCCCCAAACCAAATGGAAAGGACAGAGGGTCTGAGAGCATCACAAGAGACGTTGGGAACTCCCAGACGACCAGGAATGCACGTGCCTGGACCCCACTCACACCCTCAAACAAGGTCTCTTCAGTCTGCTCCACACGAAGCTCCAGCCATCCAACAGCAGTTCAGAACTCCTGTGAGTTCATTCAGGATGGCTGCTTTGATCCTAGATCTTTTCAGGAGATTTTTCAAAGTTTGTTAGGGTATTTTCAGCTGGAGAGGACCTACAACAATCAGCAACTGCAACACGAGAGGAGCACAAACCATGAAAGCAGAGCAGGGAAAAGGAAAGAGAAGGGAAGTGCAGTAAATCCTGCACTCCTCAGCTCTCTGCCAGAATTCAGTGTTCTATAGGCTGGGCATGAGACTTGCTACTGTGCTGTGTGCTGAGGGCAAAGGGAGCTCACTGAGACAAGGTGCACCTGCTAAAACTGGCACTAAAACTACTGCAAAGCAGTGGTGCCCAGCACAAACAGCAAGTCTTTGTTCTTCTGGCACAAGAGGACTCCTCACTGCGAGTGCCACATCCAGCTCAGACATTTATAAGCAAAAGAAAAGACGCTGGCCAAGGGATTTGTATTAAAATAAAGATTATAGCTCGCAGGGAGAGGAAATGGTGAACGTAGCAGTGGGTCCCCTGGCCAGCCAGGCTCTCCCCGAGCAGTCCTGCCTCTGAAGGAGAGCTGCAAGGAGATAGCCCGAGCCAACAGTCTCTACAGCAACTGCAGAAGCACCAGTTCAGTGATACTCCAGGCCTGCAGTAACTGCAGAAGTGTCAGTAAATGGATACTCCAGAAGGAACCTTTCCCAGTTTCACCTGGACTGCCTCCACCTGCCTGGGCAATCCCCTGATCCCAATCAGCTGAGCTCCACTCTCTACTTGCCCATTCCTCTGCAAACGCTTCTGAATCCTCTTTACCCTTAATGTCCTTCCAGTACACTTGCTCCCCTTCAAAATGTCACGGAATTTGACCCAGGCACGAGAGCAAGTTTTGTAGACACGGTGCTGGAAGGATGAGCGTCCTCATCCCTCTGCGTGTGGGGCTGCAACTCCTCAGGGAGGCTGGAATGCTGTTATGACAATGGCCCTGTGCTCGTGCTGCACCACTAAAAGCATCCTTGGAAGCATCTCAAGAGGCACCAAAACAGAGGCTGGTTACCACCCAACTGCACAGCACGAGCAGAGCCATTTGCAGCACGGTGACTTCCACACAACGTGCTGAGGCCATATTAAGGAACAAAACACTGCACCTATGCACTTGGCAAGTGTCTCAGCTCAGACCTGTCATTCACTGAAGGATGTTTAGGACAGGACATCTCTCACGACCCTTTTAAGAACCTGCTGTAGATTCTCAACAGTTACAGCTTCATCAGTTCCACATAAACACCCCTTGCAGGAGTTTTTCCTTAACTCTGCAGTTTTCCTTTGTTTTGCACAAACTTGGCATGAAGCTCAGGCTCCTGACCCACGGCAAGAAGTTAAACAACACTGCTGGTTTGTTTTAGAAGGGTCAGGAAGTTTCCAGTTTCAGGAGAGCAACATGTACAGTCCCAGCTCAGGGACATTCAGTATTCAAGCCCTCTGCAAAGAACAGCCTCGAGCAGAGACCTGTCAAAGATGCACTTCCCAAGCTGCTCTTTTGGTTGGTTTATTACATGAGGCCACATCCACAAAACCAGATTTTTGGTCAAGAGTTCACTACTTCTGTAATACTGACTCCCAGCTACCTGCTTTAAACAATGTCCTTTATCTCCTGGGCTAACACAGGGAAAATGACTGAATTCCCTCCGAAGATAAAGCAGACTGCGTGGAAATAGTGGCAAAGAATCTCATTCCCACACTAATGGTAGTAGAGAAGAAACGTAAAGGCAAACGTATTTTGTTTTTATCTCTGTGCCTTTTATCATGATTGTTTCAGAGAGCACCATCACTATTGTGACAGTTATTTCGAAATTGTGAAGTAGTACGAAATCCAAAGTGGAAAAGTGTCTTAAAAGTTGTTAAAACATCGGCATGCAAAGATGACTTCTAGATCAAATTTATTCCTTAGC